AGTGAGAAGGGCAGCGGGGCTGGAGTAGGGGGTGAATCACTCCAGTAACTGGGCAGTAGGTCAGAGAGGGAGTAGAGTTTTCTTCAGTGTATGTTAGGAAGCTATTGGAATGTTCATCAGAGGCATGACGTGGATATGATCTGGGTTAGTGTGAGAAAAGGACCAGTGTTTGCAGTGTGGAGATAAGACTCTCCAGGGGCCCAGGGGGAAGCCGGGAGCCCAGTAAGGAGTTACTGTCGTCTTCCAGGTGAGAGAGGTGGTGGCTTGGACTAGGATGGAAATGAAGGTGGTGGTGAGAAGCCATGGGATTCTAGAATCATTTTGAAAGTAGAGCTGACAGGATAGATCATATGTGGGGTGTGAGAAAAGAAAGTTAGAGATGACTCTAAAGATCATCTGTGAAAAGTTACTTGTGGAGATGGGTCCAGGTCTGGAGTATACTGTGTGTCCAGAGAAGTCTCAGTAGGAGGGGAAGCCTCAGGTGTGGAAATTGCTTAAAAGGGGCCTTGAAAAGTGGCATGAAAGGTGATTTTATAGGAAATAAAGCAATATGAGGGGTACAGCACTTAAAATAGAGTTATGTTCTGACTCCAGTCCTCAAACTATGCCTGGAGTCCATTCGTTGGAAAAAGTGGTGATTTATCGTAAACAAAGCCTGCACACTGATGACACGTGGCCCTGGGAGGCATGCTGCGTTTATAACAGCTTTTATGTTGGTGAAAATAGTTTTTATGTTGAAGATATTCATTAATTACTATTATTTCATTCTTATGTGCTTTCTTAGCTCAGTTGACTTTGATACAGAGAACCGTTGTATTAAATATTGCCTAATCTTGTGGTTATTCTCTCCATATTCTTTCTGTGAAAGTTGATGAACTGATATTTTATGTGTATATTGCATAGGTATGCACTGTTTTTATTTTTCTTTTTATGCTGAAAATGGTATAGGATTTAATGAAATTAAAATTGTACATGACAAAAGAAGGACATGCATCTGAGTGCCTATTTGGTGTAGGGCATTGTAGAGGATCCACAAGACATGGTCCATATACTGAAGGGATTTATAATGTGGTAGGAACATCAGAGATGTGGTGACACAGCTGTGGGACCCCATTGTAGTACTTTGATTCTGGCCATGAAATAGAATTCTTATTTTATCAGTTAGTGGATGAACTTTCCTCACTTTGGTTTAAGGACCATGGAATAGGGTTAACATATCCACCAAAATACTGAGAGAGTTAAAAACAAGATAAAATACCTATTTTTGAAAATTAGCATTTGTGTAGTGCTTTACTCATTTAATCCTGTGAACTAGATATTATCTCAGTTTTAGAGAGGACTCAAAGTGCAGCGATACCCAAGGTGACAAAAAATCCTAAATATATTTATTAAGTGTTCATCATATGTTTAGAATATTAACATATTCTAAATGGTCTTCTGATCCAAATCCCATGCCCTTTGCATTACAAGTACTGTGTCCCTCTCCCCCCTTTTATTCATCCTGTTTCTTAGTTGGGTTAAAGGAAGTAAGTTAGATCTCAACTGTTACTAATTCAGAAAGAGAAAACCTTTAGCACATTAGAAAACATTAGTTCGTTGTCCTTGGAAATAATGGCGGAGTTCATGGGCTTCTGATGAGGTGAAGGGCTGTTACTGATATTTTATTTTTATAACTGTTTTTGTTTGCAGAGTTGGGAAGTTTCAAAATGTTTTATTAGTAAACTTTTCATATATTCAAGATAGTACAATGCATATATAAATATAAAGAATTATATAAAACAAACTATCCTATTAAATAGTCTTCAGCTAACATATAGAAATTATCCCTGCTTTTTGGGGCTTACACTACCCCCTCAAACAGGTAACAACGGTATTGAGTTTTACATTGTTCTAAGGTGTTTTCTGTAAATATCTTTCATTTAGGAATTAAAATCTTTTAAATATTGTGGGTAAGTTTCATCTTGTTTGACATAACTATTACGAAAATAGCTCTTCAGAATTATATTTTGATTTACTTATTTATGTTAAAATAAAAGGGTTTTGTGTACATACAGGCAGTTACTTAAAAGGCAGCTTGGTTTCAGATCTGTAAGTTAGGAGACGATTAGATTCAGAAGTTGCAAAGATCTGGAAGGAGGGAATCTCGAGGAAGAGGAAAAGGATTTCCTGTGAATCAAGAAAATTGCTCACTGGTGTAGTGTTTCTGCTTCTTAGTACTAGGAAAAAGAGAACAAAGAGGTGGGATCTGAAAACTAGCCTTTCTTAAGTTGTTCTTGGCAAAATTGGTACCACCAGTGAGTAGCTAAAAGAGTGAGTGAAGGGGGCGCCTGAGTGGCTCAGTCGTTAAGCGTCTGCCTTCGGCTCAGGTCATGATCCCAGGGTCCCGGGATCGAGCCCTGCATCGGACTCCCTGCTCTGCTGGAAGCCTGCTTCTCCCTCTCCCACTCCCTCTGCTTGTGTTCCCTCTTTTGCTGTCTCTCTCTGTCAAATAAATAAATAAAATCTTTTAAAAAAAAGAAAAAGAGTGAGTGAAGTATGGCTTTAAAATTTTATGACAGCAAATTTCCTGGAGGTTAGAAAGTGTTTATATTAACTAGTTTTTGAGTAGTGAAGACTACTTTAGGGGTCATATCTGATGTCTTGTCATTGTCTTTATCGCTGAGCCACTGAAACCTGAATATGGTGCATGTAGCATGACACTAATTTCCATTTGCTTGGTAGAGTTTGTGTGTAGTCTTTCATCTTTTAGGAATTGTAGTCCTCATAGTTCTTAGTTTTAAATGGGTAAGGAGAGTTTTAAACAATGCCTGGGCTGTAATTTTAGGGGGCTGGTCATATACATGTGCGTACATGCACACATATGTATGCATATGCATAAAAATGCCTTACTGTGTTTGCCTTGGCAGTCGCTACATACATATAGGTATACATACATATTCTCTACCTGCATATAGGTAGAGAGTAAGCCTATAGATGATGGGTGTCTTGGCTAAGAGTGGGGACTCTGGAGTTAAACTGTCCAAGTCCACATCCTGGATTGCCACTGGCTAGCTCTGTAGCCTTGGTTTAAGTTACTTAACCTCTTTGTGATGGTATTTCTTGTCTATACAATGGCGGTAATAAAACCTCTGTCTGCCTTAGTGGTAGGGAGGATCAGTACACAGGAAGTTCTTAGAGCTCAGTGCTTATTTATAGTGCTTATAGTGCTCCACGAATGTTGGCTATTATTTAAATCTTGTCCCTAGTGCCTTTTGGTTAGAAGCACACTTCATTGCTTAGGTTGCTGTTTGTGTGTGGGGAGATGTTCTTTCTAGAACCACATCTCCTTGTCACATGATTATGTGCAGTGCAAGCCTTATTCATACTCTGTCAGCAGTTGAGATTTGAACGTAAGTGTGTGGCCATACCCGCTGGAATCCAGCAAGAGAGAGAACTAAGCACCATAGCAACTGTTGCTATTTGTGTCCTGAGCAGCAGCTGCCCTGGACAGATTTATTTTTTAATCCTGATCTCACTGATAGCCTGGGATGTGGCCGTGCCTTAGAGAAGTGGATTGGTTGAGATGTCTGGTCTTTGAGGAGATTTCATGACTACATGTTATAAAGATTCTATTCCATGTGAAATATGAGGCACTAAAGCTTTGTGTGTATGAGAAAGGAAGAGAGGCCAAGCCTCAGTGTTCAGACAGTCCCTGAAGTATAGTGTGATTGGATTAATCACACAAGAAATACTTTCAGTAGGAACAGTAAGGCTTCATGCTTTTCAGTCAAAGAGTAATTTTGGGGCGCCTGGGTGGCTCAGTTGTTTAAGCGACTGCCTTCGGCTCAGGTCGTGATCCTGGAGTCCCGGGATCGAGTCCCGCATCAGGCTCCCTGCTCAGCGGGGAGTCTGCTTCTCCTTCTGACTCTCCCCCTCTCATGCTCTCTATCACTATCTCTCTCAATAAATAAATAAAAATCTTAAAAAAAAAAAAAAAGTAATTTTGCTGTCTAGGGGCGCCTGGGTGGCTCATTTGGTTGAGCGTCTGACTTTGGCTCAGGTCATGATCTCAAGGGTCCTGGGATTGAGCCCAAGTCAGACTCCCTGCTCAGGGAGGAGTCTGCGTCTCCCTCTTCCTCTGCCCCTCCCCCCTCCTCGAACTCGTGTGTGCTTTCTCTCTCAAATAAATAAATAAAATCTTTAAAGAAAAAGTAATTTTGTTGCCTACAACAGTCTGCAGATGATTTGTGGTCTGTGATTCCACTGTGTACATGCATAATACACTTATGTACGTGTATACATATATATAACATGTTTATTATCAAATGTGGATTTCAGAAATAAGACTGTCTTTCCTATGAATACTTAATTATCAAATGCTTTTCTGGGTGCCTGGGTGGCTCAGTCGTTAGGCGTTTGCCTTCGGCTCAGGTCATGATCCCAGGGTCCTGGGATCGAGTCCCACATCGGGCTTCCTGCTCGGCGGGAGGCCTGCTTCTCCCTCTCCCACTCCCCCTGCTTGTGTTCCTTCTCTTGCTGTCTCTCTCTCTGTCAAATAAATAAATAAAATCTTAAAAAAAAAATGCTTTTCTAAAGTAGATAATAAGATATTTAAAAAGGGTTTATTTCAGGTAGTAGTTGTATTCAGTAATTTTCTAATTTTTATTTCTAATGTATTGAAATATTTATGCAAATAGTTATGTGTGGCCTGTTTCTGACTTTTGGCTGCTTATTTACGTATGGTTCAGCCATAAAATATTTACTGAGCACCTGCTATGTACCAGACTGTGTTCTGAATCCTAGTGGTACCCAGTGAATACTGATGGTCTGATACTTTTAAGTTTTATATACAGATCCTGCCTTTTAAAAGTGTGATTATTTTTATTTTTTGATTACCTTCTTCAGATTCAGTGGTATGAATTTACTGATTTGGATGTTTTGAACTTACAACATAACATCATGTTGAACTAAAGAACATGTAACCGAGTGACTTATAAAATCAAATCATTTTTATTCTCTAGGTATTATTAACCCAAAGAACCCAAAGGAAGCTCCAAAGTCCTTTAGTTTCGACTACTCCTACTGGTCTCACACCTCGGTGAGTATACTTATGGTGTAGTATAATAGAACAATGCAGGTTGTGAACAGTTTTGAAAGAGCTTGAAGGTCCAGATGGAGTACAGAGATGACCAACACCTAGGAAAATGGAGAGAGCAAGGCCCTTTGCAGTATCCTGCTTAGGAGAGGACCCCAAATCTTGTTGGCTTCTAGGGATTGTTCCTGAACTACAGTTTGCATTTGCTTCTCTTCATTACATGTTTTTAGTTTTTTGGGTTTTTTTTTTTCTGTTTTGTGCTGGAGTAGGAGAGGTTTTAAACTACTGACAGAGCCTGATGGCCAACAAAAGGGCCTGTGAAGGGGGTTGGACAACATTTGTCATTGAAAGCTAGGTTTACTGAGAAATAGCTATACTACCTGGAGTGAGTACAGGGAAGTATTTTTATATGTGGACTTGACCTGTGAGCTTTTAGTACCATTTTCCATTTAAGAAAATTTTCTTGCACATTTCTGTGAATGGAAGAGTGATACTTTTAAGGTTATGGAAAGTGACATGTAATCAAGTGTTCATGTAGCTGTTTTTATGTATGGCTGAGCTGGATGACTGTGTGTGTGTGTTTAATAAGAGAAAAATAAGCTATGTGTAGGAGGGACTTAAAAATTTTATAATATATTTTAATAATTGACTGTTGAGATTCCAAACACTTGAATTTATTATAGCAGTAATCAAATAAGTGTAGGAAAGTATACGAATAAAATGTCATTTATTTCTTCTTTTAATTGTACAGCCTGAAGATCCCTGTTTTGCATCTCAAAACCGTGTGTACAATGACATTGGAAAGGAAATGCTCTTACATGCCTTTGAGGGATATAATGTCTGTATTTTTGCCTATGGGCAGACTGGTGCTGGGAAATCTTATACAATGATGGGTAAACAAGAAGAAAGCCAGGCTGGCATCATTCCACAGGTAAGAAAACAAAAAACAACAAAAGACCTCTGTTTAATATTACTCTTAGTCTTTGATTGCTGTAACAGTTATTTTTATTTAGCAAAGATTTATTCAGGGACTATCATATGCAAGGCACAAAAACAAATCACTTGTTCCTTTCCCTCAAAGGAGCTAACAGTATGACGTGTATACATGTCTGTCTTTAAAGGTGGGGAAGTTGGCATTCTGTAAAGGTTTTGCTGTATACCCTTGTCTGGGTGTTTTATCTTTTGAACAGTGTTACCAGCTTCTTAAAAAAAAATGGTAGTATATAGCAGGCTTTGTTCTGAATCCTGGGGACGCCTGATCGGTGTTGTTGGTCAAATTTTTTTTCCCCATGTCCCATATATAGTTCATCTTTTAAGCGTGTGATTATTTTTTAGTTTTTTGGTTGCCTTATCAGAGATATTTTCCTTTTATCTTAATAATTTAATACTATCACGTTAAGCTTGAATAGTCTGAGAATTCTTTTTTTTTTTTTTTTTTTTTAAGATTTTATTTATTTGACAGAGATAGTGGGAGAGGGAACACAAGCAGTGGGGAGTGGGAGAGGGAGAAGCAGGCTTCCCACTGAGCAGGGAGCCCGATGCGGGGCTCAATCCCTGGACCCTGGGATCATGGCCTGAGCCGAAGGCAGACGCTTAATGACTGAGCCACCCAGGCGCCCCAGTCTGAGAATTCTTAAGAGCAGTGTGTTTTAACCTTGTGTTGTTTCGAATGGAGAAGGGTTGTGACATAGGTATTTAGAAGGAACTTCCCTCATTAATAACAGAAATGTGGTTTGCTTTTATTGATGATATTTGGAATTAATTTTAAAGTGTTTTTTGTTGTTTGTTTTCTTACTATAGGCCTAGTGTGACCTCTCTGTATTCTGAGATACATAAGAGAGCAATAGCTGGGGCGCCTGGGTGGCTCAGTCATTAAGCGTCTGCCTTTGGCTCAGGTCATGATCCCAGGATCCTGGGATCGAGCCCCACATAGGGCTCTCTGCTCGGCGGGAAGCCTGCTTCTCCCTCTCCCACTGCCCCCTGCTTGTGTTCCCTCTCTCGCTGTCTCTCTCTCTCTGTCAAATAAATAAATAAAATCTTTAAAGAAAAAAAAAAGAGCAATAGCTACTTTTTCTTTTTTTTTTTTTTTTAAAGATTTTATTTATTTATTTGAGAGAGAGAATGAGAGACAGAGAGCACGAGAGGGGAGAGGGTCAGAGGGAGAAGCAGACTCCCTGCCGAGCAGGGAGCCCGATGTGGGACTCGATCCCGAGACTCCAGGATCATGACCTGAGCCGAAGGCAGTCGCTTAACCAACTGAGCCACCCAGGCGCCCAATAGCTACTTTTTCTATTGGATTATTGGACTGTAATTTTAAATTCAGCTGTATAATTGAAATGCTTAACTATCAGTAAAAATTAAGAATTTTTCAGAAAAAATCGAATATATTGGCATATTTTCTTCTGTAAAAAATATATGTCAATATTAAGACATATACTTGGGAATTGTCCTTCTATATATATAAGAATAGCAATAATTATAATAATAATTAGAGAAAATACTGTGTGGCATTCACCATGTGCAAGCACTGGTCTAAGTGTTTTACAGATATTTGCTCAGCTAATCCTCCTAGTTTGATCCTACGAAGTAGATGCAGTTGTTACCTTTATTTTATTGTATTTTATTATTTTATTTATTTCCCTCATTTTAAAGATGAGGAAACTGAGGCACAGAGAGGTCATGTCACTTGCCCAAGGGAGTGGCAGAGCCAGAATCCAAATTCAGGCAAGGTGGTTCTGGAGGCTTTGCTTTTACAACTATATAATACTTCTTTAGGAATGAAACAATTTTTTGTAGATTATAGCAAGTTATACTAAACAGTCCTTTTATTCCATCATCACACTTAGTTTCTCCTTCCTTCTCCTTTAATTTGTTTTTGTGTAATTACATATATATCTCTTTTCTGGTAGAATTTTGGAACATTTTATTTTAATGCAAAAGCATTAATTTTTGAAAATGGGATTATCATTTAGAAACTGCCATTTATAATAAAGGATGGGGAGAGTGAAATTTTGTGATTTTTCCTGATCTAGAAAAATTAATGTTTTCTATTGGAAATGTCACTATGAGATAGAGTAGCCTCTTATAAAGGGCTTGGAATCTTTTTTTTTTTTTTTTTAAAGATTTTATTTATTTATTTGACAGAGAGATATACAGTGAGAGCAGGAACACAGGCAGGGGGAGTGGGAGAGGCAGAAGCAGGCTTCCCGCTGAGCAGGGAGCCCGATGTGGGGCTCGATCCCAGGACCCTGGGATCATGACCCGAGCTGAAGGCAGACGCTTAACGACTGAGCCACCCAGGCGCCCCAAAGGGCTTGGAATCTTAAGACAGAGGAAAAGGGGAAATTTTATAGTCAAAATTCTTCTTCTTTTTTTTTTAAGATTTTATTTTATTTTTTATCTTTTTTAAGATTTTATTTATTTTTGACAGAGAGAGAGAGACAGCAAGAGAGGGAACCACAAGCAGGGGGAGTGGGAGAGGGAGAAGCAGGCTTCCCGCTGAGCAGGGAGCCCGATGCGGGGCTCGATCCCAGGACCCTGGGATCATGAACTGAGCCGAAGGCAGACGCTTAATGACTGAGCCACCCAGGCGCCCCTAAAGATTTTATTTTTATTTTTAATTTTTAAAAAGATTTATTTATTTATTTGAGAGAGAGAGAGTGAGCAACCATGAGAGGGGGGAGGGTCAGAGGGAGAAGAAGACTCCCTACTGAGCAGGGAGCCAGATGTGGGACTCGATCTGGGACTCTAGGATCATGACCTGAGCTGAAGGCAGCCACTCAACCAACTGAGCCACCCAGGCGCCCAAGATTTTATTTTTAAGTACTCTCTACATCCAGTGTGGGGCTTGAACTCACAACCCTGAGATCAAGAGTTGTATGTTCCATTGACTGAGCCAGCCAGGCACCTCATACTATCAAAATTATTCTTAAATACCTTTATTTACTCCCTTGAAAGAGTATGCATTCTCTCTTTATACATATGTATGCATGATTTGTAATGTATATAATAACTGGCAGTATAAAATAAAATTTATATAGCATGATAAAATGTGTGCAAAATGGTTTTTTTTGTTTTGTTTTATTTTTGTCAGAGAGTGCACATGCACACAAGCAGGGGGAGTGGCAGGCAGAGGGAGAAGCAGGCTCCCCACTAAGCAAGGTCCCAATGCGGGACTCAGTCCCAGGACCCTGGGATCATGACCCTAGCTGAAGGCAGACACTTAACCAACTGAGCCACCCAGGCATCCCCAAAATGTAGTTTAATATTGGTTTGACTGCTACATAATAATACTAATAGTAGAGTCACAGTTACTCTAGGATAATGTGAAGAATTGAGTTCACATAAATTTAATGTGCCAGGGACCTAACAGAGGAAGAGACAGAACTCCTCCTCTTCCCTAAATGGCTTGCTTTCTAAGGAAACATTTCTGGGGTGCTGTCATCAAGGGAGAATAAAGATGAGATGAGGAGAATGCATTCACAACTGTCCCCTTATTTCATTCAAAGCCATTCTCCTTTGATGTTGTTGTCATTAATATTTTGAGAAAGAGGAAAGGGATCTCACTAATTTGTTTAGCATTCATGGGTATCTTTGTAATTCTCTCATTTATGCTGTTCGTGCCTCTCTCCTTCTGCTTCTGTAGTTATGTGAAGAACTATTCGAGAAAATCAATGACAACTGTAATGAAGAAATGTCTTACTCTGTAGAGGTGAGTACAACCGTGGGTTAAAGCCATAGGCCTCTGGACTCCATTCCCTCCAGTGTTACTTTTCAGTGGTCCCAAATGATGACTATAGATCACTTAACTACTCCCCCAATTTTGTATTCTTAGACTATTTTTAAGTTTTGTTCATCATCAATAATGTTGCAGTTAAATAAGTCAGAAGCTTGTTCATAAGCTTTATTTGTAGTTACTTCCTTTATGTATCAGGTTGTCAAAACAATACATGTGAATTGCCAAATGGCTTTTTAGAAAGAAACACTGTACCAATTTTCAGTCCCATCAAGAGGGTGTAAGCACCCATTGTGTCCTTGCCAACTTTTAATATTTTTGTTTTTTCTCTGCCAACTTGATAAGGGCACTCTTTTTCACTTATTTAAATTAAAGTTTTTTTGATAATTAGTGTAATTGAACATCTTGTAAATTATGCATATGCCTGTTTATATTTTGGGATTGCAGTGTTTATCTTAATCATTTGTGTGAACTCTTTCCCCCTTTCATATTTATTAATAGTGATTTTTGACATGGTTTTTAAAATCTATATAATCAGATCTCTTCTCCTTTTCCTCCTTTATAATTGCTTATAATCTTAGACAGTTATTCTTTTTTTTTTTTTTTAAAGATTTTATTTATTTATTTAACACAGAGAGAGAGAGAGAGACAGCGAGAGAGGGAACACAAGCAGGGGGAGTGGGAGAGGGAGAAGCAGGCTTCCCGCCGAGCAGGGAGCCCGATGTGGGACTCGATCCCAGGACCCTGGGATCATGACCTGAGCCGAAGGCAGACGCTTAACGACTGAGCCACCCAGGTGCCCCTTAGACAGTTATTCTTCATCCAGCGTATACTCCAGCTCTTTGAAGAGGGGTTTTATAGAATTATATATATTAATATAGTTGATAAACATTTCTATTCATTGATATGTGCTTTTTGAGGCTGTTGTTTCACTTATCTCCAGTTTTGGTACTCAGTTCTATAGAAACTGAAATTACTAAAGCGTTCTGTTAACATGAGCCTGTTCTGAGACATGAAGCTGTTTTTAAGCAAACTTGTTTTTTATGTATGTGTTGTGATTTTCTGTAGGACTTACACAATTCCTAGTTGACCCACCTAGCTGGTTTGGGTTTTTTCTTTACCTACAAAGTGTTGCATAAATTTATTAATTTTAGAGAATTCTGCCTTGTGACTATGATACACCAAAAGGGGAATGTGCAGCTCTAAAAATATTTTTTGTTAAAATTAATTCTCCAAATAACTTGTCTCATCCTATAACTATTCTTTTTGAAGACTAGGTGTATAGCAAATGAAAATTCAGTAGATTTTTTTTTTTAAGATTTTATTTATTTATTTGAGAGAGAGAGAGAAACAGCATGAGAGGGGAGAGGGTCAGAGGGAGAAGCAGGCTCCCCACTGAGCCGGGAGCCCAATGTCAGACTCGATCCCAGGACTCTGGGATCATGACCTGAGCCAAAGGCAGTCACTTAACCAACTGAGCCACCCAGGCGCCCAAATTCAGTAGATTTTTATTCTTATTAAAATATCACATATTTTAAATAAATTCAAAGGATAGAGAGTGACAGAATGTGACAATTTTTTGAGCTTATAGATAATAAAAGAAGATGCCATTTCCTTTCATATCGGAGTTCATAGGCTTGCTTGGAGTGCAGTGTAGATCCCTAGTTGATACTCTGGTTCCTTACATTTGTGGGACCTCTACCTCCTCTTCTGCTTCCCTCTGTTTGCTCCGGCCACACTGGCTTTTTGCTGTTTCTGGAACAATAGGAACTTTCCTACCTCAGGGCCTTTACATTTACTTTTTTTTCTGCCTGAAATTTTCTTCCTTTGGATATCTTTTTTTTTTTTTTTTAAAGATTTTATTTATTTATTTGAGAGCGAGAGAATGAGAGATAGAGAACACATGAGAGGGGATAGGGTCAGAGGACGAAGCAGACTCCCTGCCGAGGAGGGAGCCCGATGCGGGACTCGATCCAGGGACTCCAGGATCGTGACCTGAGCTGAAGGCAGTCGCTTAACCAACTGAGCCACCCAGGCGCCCTGGATATCTTTTTTATCGAAGTGTTTCACCTCCTTCAAGTCATTCGCTCAGTCTTACCCTCTCAACGAAGTGTACTTTGACCAACTTAATTAACACTGCAACTTGCCCTCCACCCCGGCACTGCTGGTCTCTCTTGTCCTGTTCTTTTTCCCTCCATAGTAATCATCATGTTCTAACCTACTTTATAATTCTCTCTGTTTATTTATGTATGTGTTGTTTATTTTTATTTAGAATCATAAGCTCGCTGGGGCAGGGATTTTTGTCTGTTTTATTTACTGATGTATGCCCTGTACCTAGAAAGTGCCTGGAAGATAATGCAATTTGCCAAGTGGGGTCTGTAATGGTTGCCTCAGAAGTAAAAGAACTAGTGCTGGCTTGAGGTGGGTTTGCATGGTAGAAAATAAGTAGCAGAGCACAGCAGCCTTTACCTCGGTTACTTGGGTTCCCAAGCTTCCCCACACCTTGGTGAAAAGAGGTAAGTTTTCCAAGAAGATATAGTATCTTTCTGGGATTCTGGAGTTTATGTCCAAGTTTAAGTACTACACAAGAATGAATAAAGCACCATTTCACTTTGTAGGAAGACCTGCTTTAAGAAGGAAAACTCGTCGTCCTGTTGTTTTAATCTCATAGGGGATCAGTTACTTCAAGGGTTCTCAATATTTAAAAAACTGATTTTAAAATACAGTATAAATATACAGTCAGATCTGAGACTGAGTGAAAGAAAAAAGCAATAGAAATGGAGATTCTGTTGTTTCAGACACTCAGAAATGTGTCTATAGAAATTTAAAGTTGACAAGTGCTGAAATTTTATTGTGTGCTCGACTAGCTCAGGATACACAAGGGAAGACCATAATGAGGCTTCCTGTGGTGAATTTCCCCTAGTCCAGAGCCTTATTTGCTTAGAAGTCTGATCTTACAGATAGATAAATCAGGATCAGAAGCATCCTTCAAAGCCAGACTCTCTTTTTTTTTAAAGATTTTATTTATTTATTTGAGAGAGAGAGAATGAGAGACAGAGAGCATGAGAGGGAGGAGGGTCAGAGGGAGAAGCAGACTCCCTGCCGAGCAGGGAGCCCGATGCGGGACTCGATCCAGGGACTCCAGGATCATGACCTGAGCCGAAGGCAGTCGCTTAACCAACTGAGCCACCCAGGCACCCTCAAAGCCAGACTCTTTAGTGAAGCTCATTTGACTTATGTTATGAAACCACTAGTTTTGTTACTTTCCCTTGAGGAAAACTCTTCCCTAGACCAGAACACTCAGTATTAGCAAGCCTGGTATGTTATCTTTGTATCTTCCTGTGGACAGACTTCTGTGGAACCCTGTCGGTTTTTTAGTGAGCATGGAATTAGAGAGGGAGGAGCTGACTAGACAATTGAGATGCTTGCTTGGCTCAGGTAAAGAAAGGATAGTCTGAGAACTTCATCCCCGTGATAGGAACGGTCTGCTGGTGGGATGGGAGTTCCGGTAGTGTACTTGCTGAGGCTTCCTCTTCCTTCACAAGTTATGGATGGGTCCCACCATGCCGTCAGACTCCCTGCTGACCAGTCCTCACTCCTTGTGGTAGATACATGGTTTGTGTGTGGTCAGTCTTACAGTGCTGGGGTTGCTGGTCTCTTTTGTCTTCCCTGCTCTGGAATATCGATACTGTTTCTTGATTTTAACACTAATAGAATTTTTATTTCCAAGCTTTTAGAGTAACCTCACTGTAATCCTTAACTATTGACAACAGCATACATTTTTAAAAGTGTATTAGTAACTGGTAAGTTGCTACTAAAAATGGTATTTTTTCTGACTTAGACAAATAGTGGCTACTGATTGCAGAGGTAGCCTTCTTACCTCCTTTTCTTTCCTGAGACCGTCAGAAGGCTGATTCTAAGCTAGTCAGTGATGTCTGTGCAACTGTTAATAGAATAAAATGGACTAGACCTATGGCATTTCCCTTTATAAAGATTGCTGATCTCGGGCACCTGGGTGGCTCAGATGGTTAAGCATCTGCCTTCGGCTCAGGTCGTGATCCCAGGGTCCTGGGATCAAGTCCCTCATTGGGCTCCCTGCTCAACGGGGAGCCTGCTTCTCCCTCTCCTTCTCCTGCTCCCACTCCCCTGCTTGTGCTCTCTCACCCTCTCTGTCAAATAAATAAAATCTTAAAAAAAAAAAAAAAGATTGCTGATCTCTCATTGTAGAGCTTTTTTTAAAAGTAATCTCTGCGCCCAGTGTGGGTCTTGAACTCACGACCCCAAGATCAGGAGTTGTGTGCTCTACTGACTGAGCCAGCCAGACGCCCCTAATTGTAGAGCCTTTTTTTTTTTTTTAAAGATTTTATTTATTTATTTGACAGAGAGAGAACACAAGCAGGGGGAGCCGCAGAGGGAGAGGGAAAAGCAGGCTCCCTACTGAGCAAGGAGCCTGATGCTGGACTTGATCCCAGGACCCTGAGACCATGACTTGAGCCGAAGGCAGATGCTTCACCAACTGAGCCATCCAGGCACCCCAGTTGTAGAGCTTTTAATAAAAATTGTTAAACTTTTTTTAATGTATAGTATTTCTTTTTCCAAGTCCTCCAGTTCACTTTAATAATTTGCTCCTAGGTGAGCTACATGGAAATTTACTGTGAACGAGTACGAGACCTGCTGAATCCAAAAAACAAGGGTCATTTGCGTGTGCGTGAACACCCACTTCTTGGCCCATATGTGGAGGATCTGTCCAAGCTGGCAGTCACTTCCTACACAGACATTGCTGACCTCATGGATGCTGGGAACAAAGCCAGGTATGGTAGAAATAGACTAATGACTGAAGGCTTTGGCACATTTTCAGGTCCTTTATTCCCAGTTAAGGATTTGAGACCACCTTTATACTTATGAAAGTTGCTTTAATTGTAGATCCTCTGATCCTTTGGCTGTGCTGGGGTAAAAAGTAAGGGCTTCCGCATAGTCAGCATCTTCTCATCAAAACAATGCAGTGCTGAAACATGTCAGAACTTTGGTTAAGTTTTAATATCAGGTTTTGATTAAGTCATGGTAAAATGTTGGATAATCACATGCCTATGGAAGTAACTGATTGCAAAATAAAGAATACAAATTAAATGCGTCGGTGGTTTCTAAAGGGACAATTGAGGTATGAAAAATGATTCTGATGGGGGACCTTTCGAGTTGGGGATAACTTGATAGACTCACAAATAAGGTGTATTGAGAACAATTTATATAAGTGACAATCTCATGATCTATGAATAAAGTTGTTGCTTGTGATTGTTATAGTTAACATGGAGCCTGCTGTCCATTTTAACTTTCATCTAACAATTCCATTGTCACATGTCACCTTTATGTTTATTTAGGACGGTGGCAGCTACCAACATGAATGAAACAAGTAGCCGTTCCCATGCTGTGTTTACCATTGTTTTCACCCAGAAGAAACATGATACTGAGACCAACCTTTCCACTGAGAAGGTAGGACAACTTCAGTGTCCGGGCTTGAGTTGTATAGAATGGGGATTTTCAGAAGTCCCTCTTGCTACCCTCTGCATCTTATGGAGGGGAGAAAGTTGCCCTTTAACTTAACGGTGAATATTTTGTATCTTTTGCTTGTCATTTTTATTCCCACTCTAAACCAATTCTGAGCATGGGTTTTTGAGTGAAATTGCAAGATAGAAAATAGGCTTAAGAAAAAACAAAGACATTGGGTCTCAAAAATTACTCTGTGCAAGAGAGTTAAAGTTAAGCAGTTGTGTGGGGAGAAAATCTTCCTTTTTTTTCTTCTCGACTAGAACCTCTTAATTAACTTGCTTGGTATATAGGTTTTTTTGTTTGTTTTGAGCTCTGATAATGTTATTGTGGGATTAAATATTTAAGCAAACAATTAAGCAGACAAGGTGTGTTTTTCCTTGGAAAGTAAAGGACTGCACAGCAGTCCTGATGCTCTTCGAATACCTTGCTTGTTAATGTCTCCTTTTCTACAGTAGGTAAATATAGTAGACTTTGGAGTTAAACTGCTTGATTTAGATCCTGCCTCTACCACTTTGCAGCACTGTTACCTTGGGCAAGTTACTTAACCTCTTTGTGCCTCATTTCCCCAACGTCATAGGATTGTTAAGATGATTAAATATTGATACAGGTTAGTGCATATAATAGTGCCTGGCTCAGAGTAGCCATTCAATAAATGTGAATTTTAGCGTTGTTATTGTTAGTAATAAATTTATGTTGAATTCTTCTCTGCCTACATACCTAAGTAGCATGCAGCTGGATTTTTAAACCAGAAGTTAGATTTATTATACTGGCAGTGATAAAAGATCCTTTGCCTTATAAACTGAGTTCTTTGTGATACTGACAACACTAAAAACTAGGATCACCTTTTACTTAGTGACTTGTTTTTAGCTGAAAATTATTTTACTTATTTTAAAATTTTTTATTTAAATTCAATTTAGTTAACATATACCATATTTATTAGTTTCAGAGGTAGTGTTCAGTGATTCATCAGTTGCGTGTAACACCCAGTGCTCACTACATCAAGTGCCCTCCTTAATGCCCATCACCCAGTTACCCCATCCCCCCCCCCCAGCAACCCTCAGTTTGTTTCCTAGAGTTAAGAATCTCTTATGGGGGGCGCCTGGGTGGCTCAGACGTTGAGCGTCTGCCTTCGGCTCGGGTCATGATCCCGGGGTCCTGGGATTGAGCCCTGCATCGGGCTCCCTGCTCCGCGGAGAGCCTGCTTCTCCCTCTCCCACTCCCCCTGCTTGTGTTCCCTCTCTCACTGTGCCTCTCTCTGTCAAATAAATAAAGAAAATCTTCAAAAAAAAAAAAAAAGTCTCTTATGGTTTGTCTCCCTAGCTGAAAATTATTTTAAAAAAACATACCCTTCATATAGGTGATCAGATAACTTGACACTGCTTAGCTAGTTAAAATATTAATGCTATTTAGTACATCTTGTGTGAAACCATATTATTCTTCTATGATGTCGCATCTACAAAAATAATGATGTTAATCCTATAACCATAGCTTCTTTGATAATCCATTTTGGATACTTTTGTCTCACTTTCCTGAAGCTTTATTTTTTTTAACAACTTTATTGATTTGTTGAAGTACAATAGACCACACATATTTAAAGTATAAAATTGGATTCCTGTGTATGCACCTTTAAAACCAATATCATAGTCCAAGTCATTACCACGTCCATTCCCCTGAAAAGTTGCCTCATGCTGCTTTATAATCTAACTGTATCACTCCTTCCACCCTGGTACTTAGGCAATTCTGATCTGCTTTTTGTCACTGCAGATTAGTTTACACTTTCCAGAATTTTATATGAATGGAATTATAGAGTATGTACTATTTTCTTGCCTTGCTTCTTTCACTTAGCATAATTTTGAAATTTACCTATGTTGTTTTGTCTATCAGTAGTTCACTTGTTTTTTTTTTTTGTTGTTTTTTTTTTTATTTATTTGCGAGAGAGAGAATGAGAGACAGCATGAGAGGGAGGAGGGTCAGAGGGAGAAGCAGACTCCCTGCTGAGCAGGGAGCCCGATGCGGGACTTGATCCCGGGACTCCGGGATCATGACCTGAGCCGAAGGCAGTCGCTTAACCAACTGAGCCACCCAGGCGCCCAGTTCACTTGTTTTCATTGCTGATTAGTAGTCCACTATATAGATATATCACAGTTAGTGCATTAACTCGCCTGTTGGTGGTGGGCATTTAAATTGTTCCCAGTTTTTGATCATGAAAATGAAAATGCCGTGAATGGGGCGCCTGGGTGGCTCAGTTGGTTAAGCGACTGCCTTCGGCTCAGGTCATGATCCTGGAGTCCCAGGATCGAGTCCCGCATCGGGCTCCCTGCTCAGCAGGGAGCCCGCTTCTCCCTCTCACCCTCCTCCCTCTCATGCTCTCTATCATTCTCTCTCTCTCTCAATAAATAAATAAAAATCTTTAAAAAAAAAAAAAGAAAATGCCGTGAACATTTGTGTACAAGTCTTTGTGTGGATATTTGCTTTTGTTTCTCTTGGTAAATAGCTGGGAGTACAATGGTCGAGTCTTACGGTAGGTATATGTTTAGCTCTGTAGGTCTACAACTCTGCTATACTTTCTTCCAGAGTGACTGTATCATAATACATTCCCACCAGCAGTGTGTGAGAGTTCCAATTGCTGGAGGCTTCATATTTAATATGCCATTTAATGGGTTATTGAGTTTTATACTTTTATGACACACCGTTATAAAATATGTCATGTGTATCTTAAAATTACTTATTTTGAACCAAGAAAATTGCTGTGAACTTTTGTGCATGCTGTGTCTTCTTGTGCCATATGTAAGAGCCCTAGCTAATATTTGTAGTCTTCTTCATGCCCGATTTTTAATTTCCCGCCTCTTAATGTTTTCTAGTTCTACCTTGCTTATTTTTGAATTACCCCAATGTTCTTGTTCTTGACCAGGTCAGTAAAATCAGCTTGGTGGATCTAGCAGGAAGTGAACGAGCTGATTCAACTGGTGCCAAAGGGACTCGATTAAAGGTATTTATTTTATCAAACAGTTGACATAGTCAGTAAATGTTCTGTAACATAGGTCAGCAAACTATGGCCAGTCGGTCAAATCTGACCTGTTGTTGTAAATAAAATTTTATTGGGACACAGCCACCTTTGTTTGTGTGTTGTCTACAACAGTAAGTCTGAGAGCTTATGACAGAGACCACATGGCCTGCAAAACCTTTACAGAAACATTTTGCTCATGCCTGATCTGTAACTTCAATGAAAGATAAGTAACATAATGTGATAGTTAAGGAGGACTTGATGGTCAAGGTGAAAGCTGAAAGGTGTTTTGAGGAACAGGCTGGATGGAAGCGACACTAATGGTACAAGATCCAAATGTGAGAACACACACAGCCCTCACCAGAGGGATGCTTACTTAACAAGAGCAGAAATTGCATGTTGGTGAGTTGGGGGGAGAAGGCTGCCTCCATAAACATTTGGGGCAAGCCATCTTGCCGATACTCAGGACTGTGAGTTAGGTGTGTGGTCCTGGCATGGCATTAAGTGAACAGGGGAGAGACTGAGGACTAAAAGAGGTTTTTAGAACTTGTGGTCATAAGTAAACAAAGAGTGCTAATACAAGGCTTAATTGTATCCTATGCATTATAGATGATATGGCAGTGGAAGAAATTCTTCATCATAATTCTTTCATGTTTGGTATTGATTTCAGGAAGGAGCAAATATTAATAAGTCTCTCACAACTCTGGGCAAAGTCATTTCAGCCTTGGCAGAGGTGGTAAGTATTATATACTTGGTTACATGGGAAAACTTGCCTGTTCAAATGTACTTGATGATATTTTGTGTTTATGAAGACTGACGTTTTTTGATCCTTTTGTGTAATCTTTTCTCCTTTAAGAGCTTTTCAGATAAGATACTAGGTATAACACACTTTGACTTTCTACTGAACATAAAAGAGATTAAGGAGAAAGTAAACATAATCTATAAAGGCTAGACTGAAAACTAGCTCTTTACGAAGACTTAGGGTTTGATTCCTTTTTTAGCCTTACTTCAGGTTTCTCATCAAAACCAAGGGTTTTTGTTACATGTTCTTTTCCTATACAATCTTTTTTAAGTAGGATACAGTACCTTTTGGAGTTTTTTAAGCATTTGCCTTGCTGAATGCTGTTGATTTGGGGGCCAATAATATACTTTTTAAAATTGTGTTATTCTTTCCTATTCTTTAACAGTGGGACACTAAATCTGAAACACTTTTGTATCAGGGGCTTTATTTTTTAGGTTAAAGGCTAAGGAAGTACTAGTCCTTTTGCATTCTAGTTTAGTATGTTATTTGAATCCCTAAAAAGAATCAAATGCTTTCTTGCTTGTTTCTGAAAAGTCATACTCAGTTTATTACTTTAAAGTACTTTCTGTTTGAAGGCTTATCCTGTGTTCTCATTCTTTCTTTTAAATGCTTCAATTATAGGATAACTGCACCAGCAAGGTACGGTGGGGTTTGTTAGGCATTGAACTAGCTGTAGAATCAATTGTGATGATTGTAAATCCTCAGCAGGTTGTATGGAGGCATAAGTAGGAATGGAACCTTGAAAAATAACTTCTTGTTACTTGCTTTCTGGCTCTGGAATTTAGAATTGCTGTTCTGACCATGAATCATGAGACTGCACACCAAACCTAATTTAGGGAACATGATGTGTTTTGGAGAAGGAATTCAGAATAAAGGAACAAGAGAGAAACTGAGGAAGCTTCTATATTGTGTTATCTTAATGATGTTTCTCCTAGTGATCTGTAGGACTGTTACTTGAAGAAGTCACCTATAAACCTCTTGAAAGGGCAATAAAGATATTTCTTATGGATACTATTCTAAAATATAGCTGCCTTCTTGAAATTATTAGGATATTTTTCTTAAACCTCTTTGTATAATCTTGTTTCCTATCATGAGAAGTCATGGATTATTTAAATTGTTAAAAAAAATTTTTCTACTCTTTGGTTATACATAAAGTGAAGGCTGTAGAATCAAGTTAAAGTCTGTATCTAGAACACATGCTCTGGGCATCCTTTTAATCCAAATACGATAGACTTTTCCTTATATTTCCTTACAAGACTCTAAAATTTCTTAGTACTATTTTGCATTTATAATAGAGCACTCAACAGTTCTGAATCACATGAGTAACATTGGAGATAAAGGCAATATCTGCAATGAAATATTTTATTTTATTTTTTAAAAGATTTTATTTATTTGAGAGAGAGAGAGACAGCATGAGCAGAGGCAGAGGGTAAGCAGACTCCCTGTTGAGCAGGGAGCCCGACATGGGGCTTGATCCCAGGACCCGGAGATCATGACCTGAGCCGAAGGCAGATGCTTAACCGACTGAACCACCCAGCTGCCCCTGCAAGATGAAATATTTTATACTCATATTTTAAAATATATAGGTTTGTTCTCTACTTGTACAAAAATTACTTAATAAGAAGTAATACTGGGGCGCCTGGGTGGCTCAGTCATTAAGCGTATGCCTTCAGCTCAGGTCATGATCCCAGGGTCCTGGGATCGAGCCCTGCATCGGGTTCCCTGCTCCGAGGGAAGCCTCCTTCTCCCTCTCACACTCCCTCTGCTTGTGTTCTCTCTCTTGCTGTGTCTCTCTCTGTCAAATAAATAAATAAAATCTTAAAAAAAAAAAAATAAAGAGTAATACTTTTTTTCTGTTTCTTTTGGCTTATTGGAAAAAGCTGCCTTAGATTTAAAGCTATCTGTTATTTGATATTATGCAGTAGTTTGGATATTCTTCAGATATCTAATCTGAGTCCCAGAACCATGAAAGCTGTTAAAATTTAGTGGTTTTTCTAACTTGTCCTGTCCATTTGCTCATTTTTTTAACATTCTTTATCAACCAAAGGAAAAGTTTACATTTATCTGCATATTTCCCATATTGCTCTGTGCCACAGTAATTTGCAAATGACTTTTTTAGAATTAGTTTTGGAAAATCCAGTTTAGAACTTTGCATCTATGCCATAACTATAACAGATCAAAGACAAATTTTAGTTTTTATGTAATAAGCATAATTTTTGGTGAATTAAAATGTACTGTTATTCCCACTGGGGAGAGAAACAGGATTATTATTGTCTATACTTGATAGCACTTCTTTTTAGAGAGGCTAGTGATGTAAGTAAGTAAACCTGTTTAGGTAATTACTGAGGCCCTTATTTGTGAGAATAGATGAGATTAATTTGTGTAAGAGAGCAAATAGAAAAGAAGTGGCTAAAATTCTGAGATATTTCAGATGGAAAATATGGAAGTTCTATTCATGCTTCTTTATTTAGCTACTCCTTCTTATTTTAGTCTAATCGACCAAAATGAAAATAGAACATCTTTTGGCAAAGAGAAACTGCTTATTTTTATAGTACTGTTTGCAATCCTTGTAAGTGACGTACTTTAGATCTTGTAGCATTTTCAGTACTAACTGTAGGCAAAGTGGAGTGTTGAGGGGCTAGAGAAGGAAGAATTGAGGTCTCAGGACTCAAGAATTTTGCAGTGGACTGATAGTCCCGCTAAGCTGTGATTGACTGAGAGGGTTAATTCTCCCCACAGGTCTTTGTCATTTGGAAATAGATCTTGCTATGGGAAATGACTTTCTCATTGGTGGAAAGTGTGTCTGTGGGTGGGATAGGATGAATTGGAGGGAATGTTTTTGATAAGAGATGGAATTAAATTGCTACTTGCCTACTTCCTTTCCTCCTTGACAGACCAGAGGTCAGCTATTTAGTACTCTTTTTCTGAATACCCATGTTTTCGCAAGAACTAGATTGTCCTTAGTTTAACCTCAGATTATACCAGGACTGGGAAGAGATGTTTATCAGTGAACCCTGGCTTCCCCTTAGTGGCTTCTTAAATTATCACGACCTAGTCATCAGCCAGGACATAACTGCAGTAGCTGTTATCTGCAAAGGGTTTGCATTAATTTTTACTTTCAAAGGATATGATAATGAGGAGGGTCACAGCTGTATAGTCAATGCTTGATACATATATACAGACCATTCATCTTTTTTTTTTTTTAAGATTTTATTTATTTATTTGACAGAGAAAGACACAGCGAGAGAGGGAACACAAACGGGGAGTGGGAGAGGGAGAAGCAGACTCCCTGCCGAGCAGGGAGCCCGATGTGGGACTCGATCCTGGGACTCCAGGATCATGACCTGAGCCGAAGGCAGTCGCTTAACCAACTGAGCCACCCAGGCGCCCCAGACCATTCATCTTGCAGTCTTTACAAATCTCCAGATTAGCAAATCACATCACTTAGACCTTTTCACTTTGAGTCCTAATTCTGTTGGTTGAATTTATTTGGAGTGTGATTTCTTTCTAAAGAAACCAAATGTGTATTACTTTTATAAGAGTTGTTAGAGATGCAACAGTCCACTTAATGATTTGGTGATTGGCCAAGTAAATTCGTTAACTAAATGACTTGGCTCCTGCACATCTAACCTGGAATGCCCAGGATTTATATTTGCCCCTCTGCAAAAGTAAAAACTCATTGTTTGAGACTTAAAGAAAAAAAAGAACCCCTTCTCTGTTGGAAATATGTATCTGAAATATTTATTTATAGGTGAAATGTTGGATTTGCTTTAAAACGCTACCAGCTGTAAAAGATATGATATAGACAGGATATTAAATAATAGTATTATATTGATGTTAAATTTCCTGAACTCTGGGGCGCCTGGGTGGCTCAGTCGTTAAGCACCTGCCTTCGGCTCAGGTCATGATTCCAGGGTCCTGGGATTGAGCCCCGCATCGGGCTCCCTGCTCGGCGGGAAGCCTGCTTCTTCCTCTCCCACTCCCCCTGCTTGTGTTCCCTCTCTAGCTGTCTCTCTCTGTCAAATAAATAAATAAAATCTTTAAAAAAAAAAAAAAAAAGGTTTCCTGAACTCAGTCATTGAACTGTGACTGTGTAAGAGAATGTCCTTATCTGCTGAAGTATTTAGGGATAAAAGGGCATGGTGTCTGCAATTTATTCCAAAATTGTTCAGGAAGAAAAAGTATAAAGTGTTTGAGGGATAATAGAAACATGATTGGCAAAATATTGATAATGATTGGAGTTGCATGATGGATATATGGTCGGTCATTATGCTACTCTCTAAACTGTCATGTACACTGGAAATTTTTCAAAATAAAATATAAAAAGAAAAAATTACTTTATTGCATGAACTTTGGGTATGGTGAAGAATTGAAGCCATGAGTGTTAAATTTCAACAGTGATAGGGTTCTACTATAATTTACTCAGAAATTTTGGACTTGTTTGCCTTTCAAGTGAATTTTTCCTCCCTAACAATACTAAGACCATTTCTTTCTGTTTAACAGAGTAAGAAGAAGAAGAAGACTGATTTTATTCCTTACAGGGATTCTGTACTTACTTGGCTCCTTCGAGAAAATCTAGGTACGTTGATCACTTGTGTGTAGTTACCTTTTTAAAGCTGTTTATTGATTATCTTTTGTGGTTAATTGTCTTATATGTTTGTTTTGGAGAAAAATAATCTCCAGATATCCATGTTACTCTTGATTTAAGCTGGTTGGATTTGCTTACCTTTTTTTTTTTTTTTAAATTATGTTATGCTTACTTTTTAATCAGGGTTTTCTCCCCCATCTTGTTGACCTGGGAACGTGGACTGTGGTGTGGTGGTGTGGTTTTCTTCCTAACCACACCTGCTTCAAACTATTGCTCCTTCTTCAAACCTCTTTGGAAACTTCATGTTACGTTTTTGCTGATGGTTTTGGACCTTCAGGTCATTCTCTTTATTCTCTGTTCTGTTAGCCTCTTTCCCTCCTTCCTTTTAGAAGGGAAATGACACTGATAGAAGGAAGAGAGTGAGAATGGCCTGCTGGACTGTCCATGTCACTGTGACTTTGACTCATTAAGAGCACTTTGGTGGAGTGGCTGAGGTCTTAACTGGAGTGGGGAGAGGAGAACTGGTCACAGTAGATACAAACACCAAGATTAACAGTATGACAGTGCCCGGCATGGGAGCATTCAAGACATTTGTTGATTCTTGATTAAATCTTAGGATTTGAGATGGTGTTGTCTAATTTGACATAAATTTAATAAAATTCTTCTTTCTAAAATGAATATGATTTGCAATAACCATGATTCATCTTCTTAGGTGGCAATTCTCGGACTGCAATGGTTGCTGCTCTGAGCCCAGCAGATATCAACTATGATGAAACTTTGAGCACTCTGAGGTACTCCAATTGCTCTTGATAGCTAAATAGAATACTGTGCCACCCTAAGTCATTTTGTTATGCCATTGGTTTTCTTATGCTATATGGGTAATTTTTTATGTAAGTAATGATCCATCCCTCTCATAACAGGGAAAACATGGTTTGGGGGAGATTTCTATTTATTTTTTTGGGCGGGGGAGATTTTTATTATAATAGAATTTACCTGTTTATGGTTTTCAATTTCAGTTTGTTACGATTTTCATTTCTGTAAAAAGAAGTTCCCTTGTGGTTTTCATCATTATAGAGATGCTCAGCTCTTAACAAGTAATACAATTATGAGTACACATAGTGTTAAAAAAAAAATTACAGGATGTTCACTAATAGAATATAGTCGGCCCTTGAACAACACAGTAGTTAGGGGTGCCAACCCTCTGCACACTCAAAAATCCGCATATAACTTGACTCCCCAAAAACTCAACTCCTAACAGCCTGCTGTTGACCAGAAGCCTTACTGATAACATAAACAGTTGATTAATGCGTATTTTGTATGTTGTAAGTTGTACAAATACATATGTATATGCATATAAGCCATATGTTTTCTTACAATAAAGTGAGTTATAGGAGAGAACATGTTATTAAGAAAATTAAGAAGAGAAAATACATTTACAGTACTGGACTGTGTTTATCAAAAAAAATCTGATTATAAGTGCAGTTCTAACCCACGTTGTTCAAGGGTCAGCTGTATTTCTATTTATGAATAGTTTTCATTACTTTAATCTGGAACTTTCTACTCTTCTCCCAGTGATGGAAAGAACCCTATATAGTCTCACAAATGCATTTTGAGTCTTCTTTTTGGTATTTATTTCTTTTATGATTTTGGGTAACTCACTAAAATTCATCTGAGCCTTTTTCCTCATCTTGATAAGATATTATAAAACTTTCTATGCGTATGTTATTAGTAAGGCTCATAAAATGTGTAAATACTCAAGCTGTTTGATTTAGAGTTAGAAATAATGGCATGTTACTTATGAGAAGTAGAGTATCTGAGGAATGGCAAGAATGAATGTTCTTTTCGGATATAGATACGCAGATCGTGCAAAACAAATTAAGTGCAATGCTGTTATCAATGAGGACCCCAATGCCAAACTGGTTCGTGAATTAAAGGAGGAGGTGACACGGCTGAAGGATCTTCTTCGTGCTCAGGGGCTGGGAGATATTATTGATAGTAAGTGAATTAAGGATCAACATAAACTCTAATCTTTTCCTCTTTAGAGTTCTTATATTTAAACTTAGATTCAAAGAACATGATGAAGTTAGATGGTATAACAGAGTTTTTTTTGTTTTTGTTTTTTCTTTTAAAAAAATCAACGAAAATGATCTCAGAATCTTTCTTTATATAGTATGTACCAGGCTATCCAGCTGAACTCATGAAATTAGTTTTTAAAATGTAAATATGTTACCGCTTGTATTTTTATTAGATTTTCATTTTAGATCAGCAGTGAAGTTTATTTGGAATGTTGAGTTTATTCTCACGGAGAAATTAATCATGTTGTAAAATTGGTACTTGAAATTTTTGTTTTTGTCCTGGGGCTTCTCTGGATTAATGTAGTAGTGGTAATATATGTGTAACAAATCCACCATTCCAGTCCCCTTTCAGATAAGATTTACCTTTGAGTGGTATCTTTCCCCTCCTGCAGAATGATTGAAGGACACTCCCCACCCAGCTCCCTATGAACACATGAAGGGAAAAATATCCATTTTCTGTCAAATTCAAGAACTAGACTTTCAGAGAATACTATTTTACAGTGTTGTCTTAAAATGAGTCTTTTTTTAACCTCCGTGATCTCCTTGCATAATGCCTAATCAGAAGTTAACTGGATGATTCAGGTAGAATAGTATATGGGTTTATTTGATAAAGTATATTTTTATTTTTTGAGTGAAAAATTAATATTTAAATTCTAATAAGATTTTCAAAGTCTCTTGTAGTTTAGTTCTTCTTACTGATTAACACCTGAGTTTAAATGAATACAGTGTGCAAAATGATAATCTATTTTAAGTGTTAATTTTTTTCATCTTCCCAAATGCTGCTCTGTTCCCTCTCTGTGTCACTGCTGAACCTGAACTTTGACCCTTCTTGTATTTTCCCTCCTGCTTACCTTCAGTTGATCCATTGATCGATGATTACTCTGGAAGTGGAGGCAAATGTGTGTATTTCATGTATTGGTTATTTCCAGTACTCTGATTTGCTAATCTGCCTCTGCTGGATCAGCCTTAAAATGAGCTTTGCATGCCAGCAATCCTAACAGGGAAATCCCAGACAGAGCATACTGTAGATTCAGAAATGATCCTGTTTTTGCCCTTCTCCATGTAGCAAACGCTGCTGAATTTCAGTTTATGGGTTAAGTAGTTTAGAGGGTTAAGAGTCTCTTGCTGCTTCTGCTCTTCAGTTTTTCCACTTATGTGATTAAACTGAATCCAAAGTCCTAGAGGATGATGATAGCGGTGACAGCAGCTCACATTTCCTGCGTGTTTATAGTGACCTTGAATGTATTATCTCACTTAATCCTGTCACTGATTCTGGAAAAGATTGTTAGGCCCATTTTACCCATGAGGACACCCTTGCCTGGGTGGTTAATTTGCTCCAGAGATCCCATGGTTTCTGTGTAGTTCGATTGGATAGTGTAACTCAGAGCCCCAGCTTTTAATATCATTACTATACCTTTTTTGGCCTCTTGAGATCCTTCACGTGTCTGATTATTTAATAGAAAACTCATTTTAAATTAGCTATGTAATTCTGAGCCTTGGTGTATGTACAATTAAAAACAATCACTTCTGGTTGGCTAAACTATCCCTGACTGAGTAGCTCTGAGTGTTGGGTTAGCACCCACCTGTGCTTATGCTGAGTTAGTTTCCTCCGTATCTTGGGCCTCAGCTTACATAGTGGTTAGGAAAACTTTTTTTTTTTCCTCTCCTTTTCTGGAAGTACACATTAGATTTTAAAAACTTGGGTGTCTAAAATGTGTGTTCGAAATGAGACATTTTTATGAAGGATCACACCTCGTTCTCTCCATAGATATCATTAAGTTGGTGAGGACATGATTTCTTACCCTTTTAAGATAATTCATGAGGGGATTTTTATCTTAGAAGAAATGAAGAATCTTGACTTCTTGGTTAAGTTTTAGGTTTTAATTGATTTGCTTGTTCATTTAATGAGGCACGTAATAGGGCTTGAAGGGAGGAAATACATAGGTGAAAGCAAACGTAGCCCTGGCCACTGTGATGAGGCTAGGCCTTGAGGACACAATAACACTCCAATACAGAGTGACTCTTGGACTGGAACAGCTCTGTCTGAGATTTCCGAAGCTGACTGATGCTGATGTGAGAAAGACACCATCTTGTTCTTGCTTTTGTGCCCCAGCTGGTGCTGCTACCAGCTTGTTGCCTCACTCTTTTCTGAGCAGTTGTGACATCTCCCAAAAAGCTATGCATGACTAAGTTTTAATTTTGTCTCCATGCAGGAAAGCAGCCCTGACTACTTCTGAATTTCCATTTCAGTCTACTACTCTTAATTTCTTTTAGGGCTTGCATGTGTCCATTGGACCTTCTCAGCTCCACCCATCCTATTCTTTCCTACCTTGCTGCCATCGCCTGATGGCTGATTTTTTGCTCCAGTTCCCATCCCCCTTTTAAAACTTGCTTGTTTTCCTATGTTCTATATTTGCAGATGGTGGTTTTCAAACTGTCTTGAGCAACCACTGGTTTTAAGGGGTTTCAAGAACTGGCTTTGATGAAGTAGAAATGAGTAGACCCAGCGAGAGCAAATAATAATGTTTTCTGACTCTGCATTGACTCGTATCATTTAAGGAAAACTTAAGTTAGTTTTGGTATGAATTTTAAGCAATGTAGGTTTTCTCACATTTTTAAACATAAGCTAATTTTAAAATAGAAATCCATCAATACCTATGGTTTTCCTCTGGTGTCTGTTCGACAGGGATGACTAATGAAGGAAAGTACGAACAGCAAATTAATGAATTTTGTTGTTTGTGGCTCTTTTTATCAACACTAAATTTAAAAACAAAACTTACAGTTCTATTAAAGACCTTAGTAAGTGAAAGTATGTCCCTGAAACTTGAATTCCATACTAGGAACTCAGCTCACCAGTGACTCATGGAGTACTGTTAGGCAGAGTAAGAGCCTCACTTTGCAATAATAAGCAAATAATCAGCCTTGATTTTTGCTTGTGCTAATAGATGAATGTAAACTGTACCAACTTCATTAATTTGCTAATTGTTCTTCCCTGTTGAGGTAATTGGCCCTGAGTTCTCAACCAGAACTTACACAAATTTCTTGTGATTTCTACATTTACCTCTCCTTTTTTAAAAAAGCGTATGTTAAAGATGCTTTTTAGCATGTTGACATGTTGCTATACAAAGGACACTACAGATTTTTGTTTTAACTGTAGTATCTTCTTGGGAATTTTTGCTGAATGCCATAAAATACTGGGCCAGTTTGATATTACTGATAAATAAATGTTCATCTTTTTTCCTGTACCATTACAAACTACTGGGATTTAAGAGTACTGGAAATCTAAAACATTGTAGATTTGGAGCTCTAGAAGGAATAGAAGGAATGTAGCATGTCTTGTTTACGGAGAGTGCCTGAGCATTATTATCCTTTGAGGCTCTGGTTACCCCCTATCAAATACAATGTTAACCCACCCTGGAATTTTTTAGTTTCTAAATTTTTTAGTTTCAGAAGTGGTTCTTAACCTCTAGGATACCAGTATTAAAGACAGACATGTTTTAGAACTGCCATCTAGAACAATTATAACTTGTCTTTGTATTATAATGTCTTTGTCTTGGCGCTTTAATACTATCCTTTCTTACGCTGGTGTTCCTTCCTGTCTTTTTTCTCCCTCTGCTCCTTTCCCTCTTTTCCACTTTTTCTGCCTTCCCTTCTTTCTGTCTCCCAGATCTGAAAGATTTTCAGAACAATAAGCATAGGTACTTGCTAGCCTCTGAGAATCAACGCCCTGGCAATTTTTCCACAGCATCCATGGGGTCCCTTACTTCATCTCCATCTTCCTGCTCACTCAATAGTCAGGTGGGCTTAACATCTGTGACCAGTATTCAGGAGAGGATCATGTCTACACCTGGAGGAGAGGAAGCCATTGAACGTCTAAAGGTAAGTAATAATTCAGACTGAATGAAAGGTGTTCTGTGTAGCTCCACAAAGCATAGTTGGTCTTGAAAATCACCGAGATTTTTGTTAAGGATACGGAAGAACTTTCTGACTCTTAGAGGTGTCCTGAAAATGGCATGTGCTGCTTTATAAGGTCATTTCTTTTTACCAGAATGCTTGAGTCTCACGTGGCCAGGCAGAAATTAGAGAGGTGCGTGGCCAGATCATAGGTTGGCCATGAAAATAACTGATAAATAGATAATGTCCTTTAATTCCCAGGTAGTTTATAAGTCACAGGGACATTGTTTAGTTAGAAATTTAGTTGGAAACTAATTTGATAGAAGCACTTGGATTCATTTGAAGATGGAATTCTGTATAGAGCCATGTCTGTGTTAGTAAAATAAATAGACAACCAAAAGAAGGCTTGAGCATATGAGTGGCTGTACCAGGCTTATTCAGAGACATGTGAAATGATAACTTGTGGAAGCTCATAGGAAGTCTTGGAACCCTATTATAACTGCCGTGGGAGGGCTGCCTCCTCCTGTGCTGGCGCCCATGGGATCAGGGGCCTCAGTGCTGTGTTGCGTGCTTGCATCCTGCACGTGCAGGGCCACCTGCTGTGGCACCCAGCTCCACTCTCCCAGTCTGTGCTTGGCTCTGTTGGGGATGTTCTTGTCTTCTTCGTGAATATGAAAGTGAGCAGTAGCAGCACCTGCTGATTCCTGGCTTCTTCCTTCCCCTCAGTGACTGCAGTGAGAACAGACCGTGCCATCCATCAAATCACTGTGACAGTATCACAGATGCTTTTTCTTTCCCTGCTCATTGCCTCCAGGGTGATCGTGTGATCCACGCTTTTGGGCCTTTGTATTCCCAAGGGCCAGGGCAGGGAAAACAAGGAGGGCAGAGAAAGTGTTTTCAGGAGCTGGGAAGTTGCAGTTGTGTAGGCAGGCCTCTTTGTGTTGCACTCAGCGCTCTCCACAACTGCCGCTCGCTCGAGCACTGTTGAGAACAGTAACACACTTGGGCAAATGAACGATGGAAAAGGTTTGTTGAGCCTTTTCACCGCTAAAAGGGAATGAGGCTTGATAATTGAAGATGACAGAAGGTTTCATTTCAGTTTTCAGGTGAGGCCAAGAAAGATTTTATGTGAAGACTGGGCCTCTGCTTCTTAGTCAGTCTACCTTTTTCCTTGGCATTTTTTACTTACTTCTAACCTAAGGTGGTTCAGAAACAAAAGTAATGATCTTGTTTCTTCCTTCAGAACTTGTTTGTAGGAAGTGGGTAAAGTTCTGAAATACCTAGCAAAGGGAGAAGGGTGAGAAATCTTTTCATTTCATTAATTGTTGCAAATTGAAGGGTAATTCCTGCTTTTGTAAAATTGCCTTTGGAATTGTAATAAAAACATTAGTGAAGCCTGTGCAGGACAGCTTTATGTGTGTGTGTTTTCACGATGGGCGTTGGTGACAAAGTTGCTGTGCGGGGTTCTGTTTGGGCCAGTGGGGGAAATGCAGGGGTTCCGTGGGAAAGAAGTGAAATCTCCTACTTACTATTTAATATAAGATGTTCTTTATCTTTGGGGATTTTGAATCTTACTTATATTGCCTATTAAAGCCTTGGTGTACAAATAAGATTATAATTTCCATTAACTTACGTCTTGGTGTAAAAGAAAACAATTTTCCTAACTGCCACATGGGACCAACTGGAAATAACGTTGAATGTTAGGAGTCAAGACGTTAACCAGACTCTTTAAGAATTAGGTCACCCAATGTCTTCCACATAGTTTCTGGGGAATAACACTGCCATTATTCAGGGAACCCTCCCCCCAACCTTCCTACTTCCCACGAAAACAAAACTGTATTACTTTCATCAGAAAATAAATTTCTGTTTTAATTTTCCTTTAAGTCAGCATAAGTGAAATCTTCCATTTTCCTTACCTTTAGAAAATTGCTTCTTGATGGTTTTGCATTGGATCTTGAGTTTTTAAATGCAGCATGGCAGTCCACTGAGGCATAAGTGCCTTCGTTCTGCTCCTGTTTTGTGAATGGTGAGAGAATTCAGTCCAGCAGACCTGCATTGTAATGCCTCAGGCAGATAGCATCTTGCATGCACAGTGCAAGGCAGTGGTTATACAACAGAAATGCTTGAGAATTCATTTTTGGACTACTTCATTGTTGAGTGTTTAGGAGCTACGTTCCTAAGCCATGATACTGCAGGAGAAAAATACTGTAATGGAAAACAGGAATAGAGGTTAATTCACTTCCCTAACATTTTATTTCCCTTTGCTTCTCTTTATTTTTGACTTTAAAAATATGATCAGTTGGTAAAATACTTTTGCATAACGTGTTGCTTCTGCTTCGTTTTTTGAATAGCTTCTTTCCATATGGAAGAGACCCATGTTACCTCATCATAAACAATCTCGACCCCTCCACAAACCTCTCTGGCAAAAGAGTGAAATGTAATTGCTTTCATTTTTTAATCACAACTCAAACTGAGTTGGGATGTATGTATCCTTGATTTGGATTCTTATTCAGTAAGGTTTTAAATATGTAACTATAGCTACTGTGTGGTGGCTCTGGGGTTTGTTTATTAATCTGGCATCAAAGTTAGTACTATGAGTGCCATCGCCTAGGCTTGGACTATAAATATCCAAAGTATCCATTACAGAAGCATGCAAGGGCAGGTGCTGTGCTAGGCGGCCCAAGGGCCCCACACTTGGAACACACGGAACATACTATGTTCAGTACAGTAAAACCTTGGCTATCTGACGGCTTCAGGGAATGTTCCATGTAGTAAGCATTTAACCTTTTAAATATCACAGTTGGAACTGTAGTTTTTTTGGTGGAAATATTTCTGACTTGTTCTGCGGATTTCTCTGTCACCTTAACTGAATCATGACAAAGAAATTAAATTGTGTTTAGCTGTGTGAACATAATTGTTAACGAGTGCTGCATAGAGAGCTAGACATTCGTGATGTGAGACCGAAGTTGAATGGCGCCTGAGCCCAACATTTCTTGGAGCTTTAAAAATAGGTTCCTGATGTCACTGTTTTTATTTGGAATTTTTTTGTGTGTACTACCTGTGGGAAGGAAGGACCCTTAAAGATTGTCCGGACTCCTCATTTCTGAAGCATGCATCCCAATTTCAATTTAATCTTATAAGTTGGGTTTCTAGAGTGGGTAATAGGCAACATTGGGCACCAGTGTGCTAGGCCTGCCTGCAGGGTAAGTTGATAACTCAGAGATCAAAAGTTATCTAATGTTGGCATCTCAGTTTTATTTAAGCTAAGTTTGCTATTCAGGCTTGAAGAAATAATATCCTTCATGCTTTCTTAATTGATGGTGAGCTGTTTTGTAGAATATTTTCTTTAAAGCCTAGTGATTCTACCTTAATTGAAGAAAGCATCAAGAGTCAGGAAACCCCACTCTAGGGTTTAGTGGCTCAGGATGTAGTGTGGCCTCAGGTTAGTCCCTTAGCGTCTCTGGTCCCCAGTTTCTTTATCTCTAGAATGGTTCTGGAATAAATGGCTTTTTCTAGCACTGAACTTTTGCTTAATATCATTTTCTTTAACCTTTCTTCAGAGTTTTAAAAAATAAGCTTTTTTTTTTTTTTTTTAAGATTTTATTTATTTATTTGAGGGAGAAGGAGAAGCAGACTCTTCACTGAGCAGGGACTCCCGATTTGGGCTCCATCCCAGGACCCGGGGATCATGACCTGAGCTGAAGGCAGACGCTTAACCGGCTGAGCCACCCAGGCGCCCCTAAAAAATAGCTTTTTAGACAACATAAAAATTGCAACGTGAAGCTATAATGAAAAATAAAAGAATACCATATTCAGCTAACTCATTAAATCTCTTTTTTTTACAAAGAGATCATGTCCTGATTTACCCTCCAGGTGGGAAGTAAAATTAGAGAGTTCACCTTAGAATTGGCAGCAGAATGACAACAGGATCCCTAGACTGATTTTGCTACCTTGGGTGAATTTACAGTTGCCCCAAAATAGAATAGCTTTTGTACAGCCAGATAAATCTCTTATCAGACATGATCTTTTCCTGAAAATAACCAACCAGGAAAAAAAATTTTAAGTTTCTCATGGGTCAGTTTGTATTCCATCACCAAGATCAGGGCTTGTGCGCCACACTCTGTATAATAAACACTAGTCTAGATGCTCTGTTTGGGCAGCCTGTTGTCCTAGTCCTTTCTTTCGAAGTTACCATTTTGAGATCGTAAAGGTTTCTACCCAGCTGTCTTTAATAAGCCTTGCTATCACGTAGGCTATGGTGCCAACTTGTCTCGTATTTGCCCTCTTACGGTCCTATGCAAAAGCATTTAGTACTACTCTGTTAGAGTTGTTTGAGTAACTTCTGTGGTGCTTACTGACCACTTGGTTCCTGGCCATCTCCCTCCTTGCTGAAATTGTATGGGTGTTTTTGGTTGCTGGCCCTCTAGCGTGGCACGTTGTTTCCTGTCTCAGCTTGGGAGGGGTACGTGCACTGCAGGCTAGATCTGTCCTCTTGGAGGCCACTGGAGAGATGCTGTTCAGGTAGCTGTTTGAGTCTTTCAGCCCCTGGGTGTTGGGAGAGTTAAATGAGAGCAATTTAGGTGGTTCTGTCTTTCCTCCCCACCTTCCCCACTCCCTCTGTTGACTTGTTCTGGCATCTACCCCTTTGTGACTGACCCTTTTCTGAACGAGTACCTATTCAGCGGCCCCCTTCATGGGAACCATACTGATGTTTCTACCTTTTCTAACTCGCTCATCAGTTTTCTCTTTGCCCTGCTTAGCTAGTTGTTCTTCACTGTCGTCATCATGATGCTCCCCTGTCTGTTTCTCCTGACTTCTGTACTCCTTTGCTTTTGCAGCTGCCGCCTGGAATTCTCACTCGTGGCTCTTTAACACGCTCCCATGCCTCCTTCCGGAAAACCGAATCGCAGACACCTTAGGATTGATTGTATTATGTGCTCACTGTTTCTTTCTTTGCAGATGATTATGTTTTCAGATCCCAGAGGCTTCTTACAATGGCCTGTTAAATAATCAAACAGTGAGCTCTTTTGTAAACTGTGCAGGGTTTTCATCCTGAATCACTAGTGCTGCTGTCATCAGAACTGGCATCTCATCACTCTTATGCTCCTGGCATCATCTTTGGGCTTTCTAATTTCGTCTCCATGACCAGATCTTCCTCTGCTTTTTGCATGTGTCTGTCCTCAGGTCGTCTTCCTCCCTCCATTTTTCACCGAGTTGATTTCCTACTTGTCCTTCATTCATCAGTCTGAGCGTCATTCTTATGCTCACGCATTCTCCAGCGACCTGTGAACACTTCAGTTCTAGCACGTGACACAGTGTTCTGTTGTTTTCTCCTGCCCTACCCATTCACAGTCTGCGAGCGCACTGCTCTGGCCACACTGTGGTTCCTGGAAAATGCCAGGCATTTCTTACCTCTTCCCTCACATGTTCATGTGGTAGCTCCTGCTTTGTCTCTGCTCACACAGAACCTTGTCAGCGAGCCCTGTTCTGACAACCCCATTCCAAATTGCTCCCTCATTTACCCCTTTCCCTTTCTTCCTTTTTCGCCAAGGCACTTGCCACTATCCCATGTACTGTATATTTGAATTATTGATTAAAATTGATTACATTCTTTACTAGAATGTAAGTCTCGTGAAATCAAGGATTTTTTCCCTGCCACATCCCTAGTTGCCTGAAACAGGGCTTAACATATAATGTAGTTCTGTATAATTATTGAATGAATGAATCATCAGTTACTTCTCTCTTCCTCATATACAGTAAACTCCCTGAGAGCAGGAAACATGTTCTTAATTTCTGGCATTCATAAAAACTCAGCGGGACACTGTCACTTCAGTGGCTATATGCCTTCGGCTGAGATTAATACTAACCCTTTCTCTTATCAGGTATTGGGTTGTGTTCAGAAGGGTGTTATGTTGTAGAGGAATTAAAATATTCATTTACCCTTCAGGTTTTTGACTGGGGCTTCTGCAAACAAAAGACAGATTAATAAGAGAAAAGCACACAAATTTATTTAATATAAGTTTTATGTGACATGGGAACCTTCATAAGGAAATAAAGACCCAAAGAAGTGTTAAAGCATTTTTTTTGCTAGGTTTGATAAAGAGGGAAGAGTTGTGGGAAATTATGATAGGACCTGGGGGGAACTTATCAATGCCTGTTTGTTCAGATTCCTCTTAGTGTTCTTCCATCTTTGGAGATGAGGATGCTCCTTTCCTCCAGGTGTAAGAAGGCTCCTCTCATGAGGGTCTTAAAACCTGCTTGAGGAGTTCAGAGTCCTTCCTGCAGAAACCATTTCTCAAATTACTTCAGCTTAAAATAGTCAATATGCCAAGATGCCATATTTTAGGGGAACACGTTCTGAGCCCCATCAGGCTATGGTGAAGTTATAGTGAAACAAAAGCAATTGTTTGGTGGCTTTATTCTTTTGTAGAAGTGGTTTTCAGAAATAGAGTCCTGCATTTGGGGATGTTAATGTTACTCCTCTTTCTACACACACACATATGCACACCCACTCCTTGGGCATTTTTATTAGGACTTAGGAGAATTTATATATCTAGGGCTGATTTAATGTTAGACCTAGTCTTCATGAATTTTATTGCACATAATATTAAGAAAGGAATAGAATCTCATTGTATTAGATTCTGCCTCATACCCACAAAGGGCATTGTGTGCTTCTTGCTGTCTTTCCTAGACATAGCGTGTTACATCATAAGGCTCTTCTTCACTTTAACTGTGGACTTCCTCTTAGGAATCGGAGAAGATCATTGCTGAGCTGAATGAGACCTGGGAGGAGAAGCTGCGTAAAACAGAGGCCATCAGAATGGAGAGGTCAGCAAGTTAAGCTCTCAGGGTTGTCTGCACATTCTCAGGGGAACTGGGATTCCTTTTATAGAAGGAGAAGTTGAGCTGGAAGTAAAAATGAAGGGCCCCCTTGCCAACCACAGAACAGAACAGAACTCAGCCTGCTCTAGGTCTTCCCCTAGCAGAGCTTATATAGTTAGACTACTCTAGGGAGTCCTGTGCTCATTACCATACTGCATCGTGTTCAGGGTCCATGTAAAATGGAAGATACTGAGGGATAGGGGTTTTTTTTTTAAACATTTCTTTTTAGGGTGGGGGGGGGGGCAGAGGGAGAGAGAGAATTCCAAGCAGACTCTACACCCAGCATGGAGCCCAATGCGGGGCTTGATCCCATGACCTAGAGACCATGATCTGAGCTGAAATCGAGAGTCAAGAGTTGGATGCTTAACTGACTGAGCCACCCAGGTACCCTGGGATAGAGTTTTTACTTTGTAAAACAACTGCCTTTGATAAAGGCCCAAATAATAAAGCTATCTGATGATTGTCTGAGTTATGTTTTATAGAACCTCTTTGGTAAGAGGTGAAGTAGTTTGAGTTGCAGACTTTTAAAATCCCTTTTCTACTTTAACCTCTCAGTTATCTACCTGAAGGTGAGCATAACCCAAAATAATACTTTTCCTCTTGGGATGAATATACATTAAAAGAAGGTCAGACTTGTCTTCCCCCTTCATGGAAGATGAGGTAGAAGTAAGTGCTGATGTATTGATGCAGTGGATGTATCAAACAATTAGAATATTCTTATTATAGGGATTTTTTTCTTTTTAAAGATTTTACTTATTTATTTGACAGAGAGAGAGAGAGCACAAGTAGGCAGAAAGGCAGGCAGAGGGAGAGGGAGAAGCAGGCTCCCCGCTGAGCAAGGAGCCCAACGTGGGGCTCAATCCCAGGACCCTGAGATCATGACCTGAGCCGAAGGCAGATGCTTAACCAACTGAGCCACCCGGGCGCCCCTCTTATCATAGGGATTTTAAGCTAAAATTCTTGAATCAATATGATGTTGGGCATGGGAGCATCACATTTGAGAAAATCACGCTTACAGACAGTCTTCATATATCCAAGTTACTTTCTGATTGCTTTCTTAGATTTTGAAGAAATGTTCTTTGAGTTAGATGTCTGGCCTTAAGGAATACCCGTCTTCCTTTTTTTTATATTAATAGACATATTATTTATGAATTACTGTCTGCCTCCAAAGTCAGATGAGACAAAGTTCTTATTTGGGTGAATTCAGCTTTACCTAACATGGGAACAGAACTTATTTTGAATGTGCTGTTTCCCTTAAATTCTCATGAATGACGGGATAGACAGATTTTTCACATTTGTATTACTAACACAGACAATAGTTTTTGCTTTGCATGCTTTACTTTCCAGTTCACAAGAGACTGATTTAATTGACATTTTGGTATTGGTATTCTGATGTGCTTGTTGTTTTTCTAGAGAGGCCTTGTTGGCTGAGATGGGAGTGGCCATTCGGGAAGACGGAGGAACCCTGGGAGTTTTTTCACCTAAGAAGGTAGGAACCTGTTGTGAAACTCAACCCAACAGAAGCACTTCCTGTTTGTCTTGGTCACTGAGGCACTTCTGGTCTTTCAGGGCTGGCCCCTCCTCCCTTCATTTTTATCTTGAGATTTGTCTTAATTTCAGACATTTCTGATTTCATCTTACAGTACAGGGGCAGTCTGTTTCTAAAATGCCTATCGTATTTGCTATTTACAAAATAAAACCCAAGGCAGTATAACTTCTGGTCATGATTCAGTATGTTTACTCATCTGCATTGTTGCTTTCTCTTAAATTCCCAGCCTCTCACCTCACATACCTTGCTTCAGTTTGGCTACTCTTTCTATGTAGATTTTCCCACAGATGCCAGCAGCCCTGATTTATAACTCTTTGGAAGCAATTTCAGCTATTCAGGTTTGTGTAGAAAAATACCACGCAAGTTTGTTTTTGTAGTTTGTGTTACAGACAACCATTATACTGAGTAAAGCAATTCCTGTCCTCACCCTTCTAGCCTCCTCTGCTCCTTTCTTAGGTTTTTTTTTTTTTAATGACTCCAATAGTACCCTCCCACTTACATAATCTTATAGTTGTTAGGTAGTAGATTCCTTGTAGCTAATTAGAATAGTAAGGTAGGTTTTGGTTTTTGGGTTTTTTTTGGTTTTGTTTTGTTTTGTTTTACTAAGTTGCTTCCTAGTTATTCTTAGATATTGGAAAACTGTTACAAATTATTTTTGTGTGCTTCTTATATGACAGTAATAGAACATATTTATTTATTTACAAAGCAGATATATTCATGCCAGTAATAAATGGTTCTTCATTTCAGATGACCCCAGCTTGCCTATCAGAGACTTACACATGTTCTGTGGGGTCTGATGATGATCTCTCTAGGTTGGCATAGAATGGGCAGGGGGGTTTCCATTTTTGTGTTTATGTGATAGGAAATATTCCTGGTTTTTGCTAGGATTCTTTAGGTTTGGTTTTTCTGTCAAGGTCACATAACTTTTTTTTAGGAATTCCATTGCATTATTTTCAACAAAGAAGATGGTTTTAAAGACATTTTTGGTACACGTCGTAGAACTGGAATAACAATAACAGTATTTTGTGTGTGTATTGCCAGCAGTCTGTGATTTTCAGTTTAATAGTGTTTCCTTCAGTAAGACATTATTTGTTGAGATAGTATACTTAGGATTGTGGAGATTTTAACAGTTACGGGTTTGATCAGATTTGTGCCTTTGTGTATATTGAAAGAGATTTTACAACGTCTTTGAGTGTTAAGAACTATATGGAAAATTTTTGTAACAACTTGTAAAACGATGGCATTTAACACAAGTCATAAATAATTTAAATAAGTGGTGTGATATAAACAGCACGGAATTCCACACTGAGATCTCTGTTTCCAAAGCTTTTTCTTACTTTAATTTTATGCATCTTGTTTTAACTTTCTAGACTTCCTCAGGAAAGGAAGGGATACACCACTGGCTACATCCAGATTCAGTTTTAGAACCTGTTTCTGATGTGTTAACTTGATTGTGGTAATCATTGCATGCACATTCGCCACCTTAAAGAAAAAAAAAACATGTTGTACAACCTAAATGTATACAATTTTTACTTATCAATCATACCTCCATAAAACTGGGTCGGGGGAAATACTTTTAAGGCAAGGGGCAAACAGACAAAACCTGTTTCCAGGATCTCCTTTTTCTGAGGCCAGTGTCCTAATGGGCTTTAAAGAACACTGCCCACAGAGGGACTTGACTTTCTCAAACCAGCAGAGCTCTTAGACTACAGAGGCAGATGCTGATGTAGAGTTTTTTCTAGTTTCTGTTTAATCATCTTTCTCTTCCCTGTTCTTAACCCTCTCATCTGATTCTTCTTTCATTTTTTCACATTTGCTGGCACTGTCTTGAGTAGATTTTGACCCCAAGACCATGTGACTTATTTTTGGATTCCAGTGGGGTATTTTCACCAAAGAAGGTTGGTTTTTCAAAGATTTTAGAAACATTAGAGTTAGATGAAGAAGATTTTTACAAGATGTGTATATTGTTGAACGTCAGTGATTTTAATTTCTCTTTAATGTAAAGACTAATAAACTAAAGACAATAGCTGAGACCATGGAAGAAGTGATAAAAATTATAGAGGGAAATGCCAGGGGATGTGGGGACTTTTTTTTTTTTTTTTAAAGATTTATTTATTTTAGGGGGAGGAGGGGCAGAGGGAGGTGAGAGAATCTCAAGCAGACTCCATACTGAGTGCAGAGCCCAGTGTGGGGCTTGATCCCACAACCCTGAGATCGTGACCCGAGCCAAAACCAAGAGTCAGATGCTCAACTGACTGTGCCACCCAGTCCCCCATTTTTTAAAGCAGTTTTATAGGGGCATCTGGGTGGCTCAGTGGGTTAAGTGTCTGCCTTTGGCTCAGGTCATGATCTCAGGATCCTGGGATCGAGCCCCGCACTGGGCTCCCTACTTGCCAGGGAGTTTGTTTCGCCCTCTCCCTCTGTGCCTCTCCCCCTGCTTGTGCTCTCTCTATCGTTCTCTCTCTCATGAATAAAATCTTGAAAAAAAAAAAAACAATTTTATAAAATAAATGAAAAGCATTTCTGGAGATTGTAGGAAGGGAAGATAATTTTCCCTCTACCCGTTTTAGTTCTTGGCTGAGAGCCCTGTAATAAAAGATTAATAAGAGAAAAACAAAAATAAACATATTAACGTGTCTGCCTCGTGTATGTGTGGGAGCTACCCAAGGGAAAGTGAGTGACTCCCCAAGATGGCTTAGAATTCAGACTTAAATACCATCCTAGTAGGAAAAGGCGAGTGGGGATGTAGGCCTCTCAGGAGGGAATAAATGATTTTCAGGAAAGATGAAGGGGCCCTTGGAAGAACAGATGGAAGGTGTGATCGTTTGTGACAAAGTCTGAGTGTGGTGTTGACTTCTGGTCTCCTTTCCTGGGATTCAAGTCCTTCCTCCCTGGTTAATGGACTCCCGAGGGGACATGGCAGCCGAGGCCATTTAGGAGGACCTGTCTTCAGGCATGAGAGGGGTTTCAAAGAAAGCCTCTCCCTGCATTTGCTGTTTTTCTGGTGCCTTCAGCTCAAAATAATCAGTATATCAAAGTGGCATATTTTGGGGTGGCATATTTTGTTACCCTTCAAGATTTTTGTCCAGATAGTTACAAAAATTATGATTAACCCATCCAGAGAATCGTCCTGTCCTTATTTTTCTTTTGTGTTCTTCATGCTTTGACCTTATCAAGAATTGGATCTTGTTCTTTATCCCTGAACTCCTGTTTTTAAATAGAATGTATTAGTGCAGTTTGAGAAGGCCTGAAGAGAGTGTTTTCTTTTTGTATGGAATTGCAGCTGGGAACTAGGAATAAAAGACATCCCTCTTCTAGGGACTGTGGTTAATCCAGGAAGCCACTGGCCCCCCTGTAGGTCACTGTTATTGTCACTGCCCACCCAGTGGTACTTGCTCCAAATTGATCATCTGTACCCTTTTTCAGACCCCACATCTTGTTAACCTCAATGAGGACCCACTAATGTCTGAATGCCTGCTTTATTACATCAAAGATGGAATTACAAGGTATATTTGTTTCTTTTGGTCACTTACTGTTTTCTGTTCTCATAAATGATTGAATAACTAAAAAGTTATTTGTTGAAAAATTGTAATGATTTGCTGTTTTTTGTGTCTGAAATAGTTACAAACTATCCTGTCTTCCCAAATTATGTAAGTGCTTTAGCCATCTGAACCAGTTAACATGTAGCTTTCCCTAAAAACCCTAAGTAAAAATTTTTTTTTCTAACTTCTTATATGAATTCATTAGGGAGATTAATTCACTCGTGTCTTTTTATAAAGCTGAGTGAGTTACATTGATGTATCCTTGCTCCTTGGTTTCTTATTCTAATGTAGGGAGGTTGATCATATGTGAAAATAAAATTTGCAGTTGAAAGCCTCTGATAAAAAGAAGCGATACCTTTTTTGTACATACCAAAGAATATTCTTTGGGAGAAAGAGGTTCATTGTTTTCAGTGCTTTTTGTGTCTGAATTTCCCTGGGAAACACTTTCTCTTGTGTTCAGGGTTGGCCAAGCAGATGCTGAACGGCGCCAGGACATCGTGCTGAGTGGGGCTCACATTCAAGAAGAGCATTGTATCTTCCGGAGCGAGAGAAACAACAGTGGGGACGGTGAGAGTTCCTGGCATTGCTTTTCCAACAACCTTTTCATTCTATATTACTAGAAATCCCCAGGGCTTGCTATTCCCTGTCTCTCTCAGTGATACTTTTTGTACAATCTAATATTTGAAAATGGAGAAACCTGGCCTGCTTACAAATGCAGGGACAGACATAGCTACTTTACATGAAAATAGCCTGGACAAAAGGAGCCCTTTTGTAACTGCCAAGAACTGAGCGGGACATAGGCAATTAGGCTTGGTCTTGAATGTTAATTATTTAATAGACAAGTAAGAAAGGAACAAATATCCTGGGTAGTGGGAGATTTGAAGGACCCCTAATCTTAACCCAGCATGTATTTTTTCTAGAAGGGAAGAAAAAGTCGGTCTTGATTTTTGTCTGGGTTACTAACAGAACAATAATCTAATGGTATTTTTGTGCTAAATGACTCATTCCTTTAATCAAAATATTAGCTGCTTTTGATCTTCTGTTTCTGGTTTAGTACCTATATCTTTTTTTTTTTTTTTTAAGATTTTATTTATTTATTTGACAGAGAGATAGCGAGAGCAGGAACACAAGCAGGGGGAGTGGGAGAGGGAGAAAGCAGGCTTCCTGCCAAGCAGGGAGCCCGATGTAGGGCTCGATCCCAGGACCCTGGGATCATGACCTGAGCCGAAGGCAGACGCTTAACGACTGAGCCACCCAGGCACCCAGTACCTATATCTTATACTTAAGATTTCTGATGGTTTTCAGTTTTATGGACTGATCTGTCACATATCACCAAAACGACCATTTCCCATCTTCTTCTGAGGTTTGTCACATTCATTTAAATGTTTCTCTTAGCCACATGGCTGGTTTTGATACCCTAAAATGAACTATTATATAGATGCTCTGCCACTTGGTTGGTTGCAGGAATGTATTCTAGTTACCCTGAATCTTCACAGTCATCTTCTTTCCATTGTTTTATTCCACTGGTTTGTGATGCTAATACTAGTTTGCTCTTCTTAGTTATTGTGACCCTAGAGCCCTGTGAACGCTCAGAAACCTACGTAAATGGCAAGAGGGTGGCCCAGCCCGTTCAACTCCGCTCAGGTGAGACTGGGAAAGTTGTTTTTTTGAAGTCCTTTGCTTTTTCCTTTTGTTTTTAAAGATTTTATTCATTTATTTGAGAGAGAGTGCACGCAAGTTGGGGGGAGGAGCAGAGGAAGAGGGAGGAAGCAGACTCCCTTGGGGCTCAGTCTCAGGACCCTGAGATCATGACCTGAGCCAAAATCAAGAGTTGGATGCTTAACCAACTGAGCCACCACTCAGGCGCCCCTGAGACTGGGAAAGGTTTGAAGTCTTTAGTAAAGAACACGTGGTTTGTGTGAGCAACTCTTTAATTTTTGACTCTTTGTTTAAAGATTGAAGTATGATAGCGTTAGGATTTCTGTTCTTGTAAAACCACAAAAGCTCTCTTTTTGCCTTAGGGAAATGAAGGGAGAGTGAGGTTATTACCTTAGATAGGTATACCTTTAAAAAATGGCTTCTTAACTCTTTCTGTTTTGTGCTAGGAAACCGTATCATCATGGGTAAAAACCATGTGTTTCGTTTCAACCACCCGGAGCAAGCACGGGCAGAGCGGGAGAAGACTCCTTCTGCCGAGACCCCCTCTGAGCCTGTGGACTGGACATTTGCCCAGAGAGAACTTCTGGAAAAACAAGGGATTGATATGAAGCAGGAGATGGAGAAAAGGTAATGCACAGATACGATGTGGCCCCCATGACTGTCACTTCTTTTAAACATGCAGTATGTAGCACTCATGAAACAGCCCAGAGATTGCACAGTTTGTTCTTTCCTCTCTTGTTTTTCTTTTCCTTCTAGACTTCAGGAGATGGAGATCCTATACAAAAAGGAGAAGGAAGAAGCAGATCTTCTCTTGGAGCAGCAGAGACTGGTAGGGGTCCCTCCTGAATCCTCGGTCAGGAAAGGGGCAGCTTGCTCTCATACCTTCCCTGTCCCACAGATGAGCACTTGCCCAGTTGCTTGTCCAGCTCTCATTGATGCCATAGGCTCTTCTCTCATTTACTTAATGGAGAATGAACTTACATCTCCTGGCAGCCTTAGCTTGAAAAAGTGTCCATAAAGGTACCCAGTTTTGTGCCTTTTGTGTGTTAAATCTTTAGTTCTAGCAAAACCAAGTGCTTTTTGAGGAGCTAGTGGGAGCTTTTCTGGTAGGCTTTACCTCTTGATGGTGGTTTTTGAGTACGCTGCAGTGGTGATTCTTTTAATGATAATTATATTGAATATTGAATTTAGTGAGTGTTTGCCTTGGTTTTGTTTCTGATCACCTGATAGTACTAATTCTCTGCTCTTGGGCTGACTTGGGGATTGTTCTTGTGCTGGGCAGACTTTTTTTTTCTTTTTCTTTTTTTAGTTAAACTGTGTCTAAAAGTGTTGCTGCACAGTTGCATGTGTTAATCCTTTTCTGTTCCCCTGCATGGAGTCTGAATTCTCAATAAGGGTCTCCGTGGCGTGTGGGATGACAGTGGAAGCAGGGGCTACACAGCAGCTCAGATAGTAGAAGGAAGCCTGGTTTCTCCGGGTTGAGAAAGATTTGGGTAAGCCGCTGAAAAGTTGGTTTGAGGTTGCAGCTTATAATGCTAATGGATTTAGCATTTTATGATGTAAATTGATTCTCTAAGTTTGATAGAAACTGAATCTCATGAATAAATAAGTTGACCCATTAGTTAGATTTTCATTTTTAAAGCCATCCAGCTTTGGTTAACAAAGCCCTGGTCATAAAAAGCTTCTTCTTGGCATTCATTTGATGTGTAAGGGAAAGGTATAATAAACCTTTGGGTACTGTGGATACAATTTAGGATTTTTTAAGACTCATAGGCTTCTTTTAAGATAAGGAGAAAGCTGTGATACTGGTTTCTTCCCTTAGCATAAAACATAGCATCTAAAATACTGTGTGTAAACTGCAGCCTTCTGGTCATGCTCTGCTTTGGAGAAGAGAGGCTGGTGCTAAATGGGCCAGAAATGGCAAAAGCAGCCTTTTTCAGGGCCACTCATTTCTTAGGCCTGGCAGTGGGTTAAACCAGTTAGTTTGTTGTCTTAGAAACTATAGTGAAGTCCAAGAAAGAATAAATCAGGTATTTGGGGCAAGATAATAGCAGTGTTCAAATCCCTTTATGAGGCCTAGTTGACATTTAGTTTTTAATGAAAACAGAAGGATTTGACTACAGTGTGATTAGGAGCTTGAAAGGTTTGTGACACATGAGGGGCCTTTTATCTTAATAATGTATAATCTAATAACATGCCTCTGATGGTCTGTGACAGATCAAATGAGGACAGGTGTCATTAAGCTGTATGTATCATTAACAGTAGTGCCTTGTATTTGTAGAGTGCTTTATAATTTACAGGGAGCTTTAACATCCATCTTTTTTTTTTTTAATTCCCAGAACAGCCCTCTTTGATAGGTGTGTATGTAAATAAAATGAGTAATATTACCTCCAATTTATAGTTGAGGAACCGAGGCTAAAAAATTCTGTCTTGCTCACTCTTAAGCACCTGTTAAGTCATGGGTCTGAGGCTTAATCCTGGGGCTTCTGAATTGCTTCCGTGTTCTTTCTGTCCAGTAAGAGCAGTGCTTCTTCACCAGCTAGCAGCCCTGTTAAAATGCAGGTGCTGATTCAGTAGGCCTAGGGTGGGACCTGAGAGTCTTCATTTCTAACGAGCTCCCAGGTGATGCCAGCACCGCTGACCCGAGACCAGCCTTTGAATAACCAGGTGAGAAAGAATAATGATGGCTGGTGCTCTCCATAACCAAGAGCTGATGATCATTCTTTGCTCTGAAGTAAAGATGATGACCATCAAATAAAGAGAAAGTAAATGTCTCTAAGACATATTTAGTTTCCAGGGGACATACGTAGCTTGCAAGTGATCAGGTTCTGGTTGTCATATGTTCTGTGTATCTGAAAGCAAGCTAGGATTTTCAAGAGCAGCTACTTAAAGCAAGAAGGTTGCTTTCCATCCCCCTAAGTCCAACTGTCTGTTCCACTCAGATTTCTTGTCCTCCAGAGGAATTGATTTCTAATGCCTTGGCCTGAAGAATATCTAGCAGTAACAATACTGAATGGAAGATGTATTTTTATGACCCTGTATTGGTCAGCCAACAGATACATTTTGAATGCACCCTATGAATAAACACTGAGAGGATATAAAGGAATAATTATTCAGTAAATATGTATTTAATATTATATGTAATCATTTTTGCATAATGACAACATTAAAAAACGGAATTCAGGCTCATGAGTTTTCTATTATGATAGTTCCCCAAACGCATCATATAGTCGCAGTGCTGAAACTTCTCTTCTAGTTAGTGCTCTATTACACACCCGGTCCTTTCTGTGCTTGCTTTTTCACCTATGTCTTGTAGGTATCTTCTTTCTTCTTTCTGCACAAGCTTCTTGCACAGTCTCTTCAGGAGGCCTTTGCATTGGGATTTAATGAAAACAGAAGCATCATTTAGTGACACGAATTGGCCAGACCTGAGGAGTAGTTTTTCCAACTCTGTAATAAGTGAATCTAAATATCTTTAAATCTTTTTTGACATGAGATAGGGTGTACATCTTGGCACATAAACTTTGCCTACGGAATTTTTAGTATCTTGGTCAGCATGTGATATGGGGGCTGTAAGCTGAACATATTCTACAAAGACAATATGGTAGTATTTTATTTTATTTTATCTTTTTTATTTATGGGGGCGTTAGGGAGGGGCAGAGGGAGAGAGAGAGAATCTTAAGCAGCCTCCACTCCCAGCACGGAGCCTGATGTGGGGCTTGATCTCAATGACCTAAGCCAAAATCAAGAGTTGGACGCCTATCTGACTGAGCCACCCAGGCGCCCCCAATGTGATAGTATTTTAAAAAGAATGAAAATTATGGCCACGTAATTTAATTGAGTTCCTTTGGATTTATGTAGATATTCTTATTTATTTATGTTTTATTTTAGAGTTTAAAGACCTAATCTCTGCCTCTCAAGCGTGATATTTTGAAAGCAGTGATTAGAGTATTTGTTATTTCGTAGATTAGGTAGTATTCATTTCATTCTTGAGCAATCTTTTTCTTTTTTCTTTTTTTTTTTAAGATTTTATTTATTTATTTGAGACAGAGAGAATGAGAGAGAGCGAGCACATGAGAGGGGGGAGGGTCAGAGGGAGAAGCAGGCTCCCTGCCGAGCAGGGAGCCCGATGCGGGACTCGATCCAGGGACTCCAGGATCATGACCTGAGCCGAAGGCAGTTGCCCAACCAACTGAGCCACCCAGGCGCCCCCATTCTTGAGCAATCTTAAAAGGAAAAGAAAAGAAGCTGGGGTGGGGATAGAGTGATAGTTGTCAGTTATGTGGGAACAGTCAGAGTATATTATGTTCTGTAAAATTAGTTTATACATACTGGCAGGAAAACCTTTTTTAGGAGTCAGACATATTTTTTTCTCTAATGTTTATTAATGTCCCCTTTTATCACTCAGATGAGACATTCTGAGGTTTAAACTAAAAATGAAAAAAAAATAGTGTAGAGTCCATAAATTTAACTCCATCTGCTTTTTGTTAAATTTTCAACTAGGTACAAATAATACAAATCAGCAGCTCCAAATTCAGGGACCAAATTATTGTCATTATTGTTAAAAGTTATTTTTTTTTTTAAGATTTTTAAAATTTATTTATTAGAGAGAGAGAGAGAGAGCGCAAGAGGGGGTAGGGTTAGAGGGAGAAGCAGACTCCCCGCCGAGCAGGGAGCCTGATGCGGGACTCGATCCCGGGACTCCAGGATCATGACCTGAGCCGAAGGCAGTCACTTAACCAACTGAGCCACCCAGGCTCCCAAAAGTTATTTTTTAGAAACAACTGTACATAGGAATCTTTGGCCTAGAAAGCAAAATACTATTTACTAGAGATAATTTTGGTAATCACAGCCAAGTAAAAGAGAGTATTAAGATTTTTTTTTTTTTTTAACTAGATTATCCTGAACTACTCTTCTAAGTGGATAGTTTCTTTTCCAAGGAACTTTTATTTCCTGAATAGAAATTCTTCCTTAAGCCTTCCTTAATTCCATAGGGAATTCTAAATCTAACATAGTTTTTGTGTAGATCCAACAGTGCTTTCATGTCATGAAGATGTGCTTGTGTTATTTAAGAACAATTGATTATTATCCAGATAGCCCTTGAAGACTAGTTAGTTGGGCAGTCAGGCTGTGGTTTTGTTTTGTTTTAAGATTTATTTATTTATCTGAGAGAGAGTGAGAGAGCAGCAGAGGGAGAGGGAAAAGCAGACTGCCCTCTGAGTGGGGAGCCCGACTCAGGCCTCAGTCGCAGGACCCTGAGCGAAAGGCAGAAGCTTAACCGACTGAGCCACCCAGGCGCCCCTGGGCTGCCGTTTTACTTGGGCCTAAAACAGAAGTAAACAGCAGCCTGACTGCCCAGCTAAAGTTTTTGAAAATGAGGTAAAGTGCAAACATAGCTGGAAAGACAGAATTAGAGACAGCATTTTAAAGTGGATCTATTTTACCTAAGCAGAATATAATCTGTTTTATGTGCTGATAGGTAGAGTTGTCACTTCAAGTGATACTCCTCAAGTAGCTAGAAATGCCATGGGTTTTCATAGAAAACATCTTTAGGTCATATTTATTAAAATATTACTTGGGGAATTTTAAATGATGTTTAATGGAAGTATATTTGCCTAGCTTAATTTATGTTCTGGAAACTTCTTAAAATTTTGGAGGTGAAGTGTTTATTGGTTTAAGTGTGTGAAAACAAAAAAGCAGACCCACTATGAGGATCCTTTTTTTATGCTTCCTTGTTCTCTGGATAACAAATGTTAGTTGTACAAATGTAGCACATCAATTTAGCATGACAGGAAAATAGTAAATCCAGTATATGCTCGTGGAAGGACT